ATTATAAATAATTCGGGGTGAAATATTCAATTGATGTTGATTGGGTTTTAATGCAAAAATGTTTATTTTCATTGATACTTAAATTTTATTGATATTATGCTGAATTTAATGCTGATGCAGTTTAATGAAATTTTCGGTTTATTTTTTATTTGGGTTGATTAATAATTCAAGTGCTTGTGGGATGCTTGTGGGATATGAAGTTTGATTTTTTGGAATTTGAATCAGGGTTAATTAGATTTTTGGATAGTTGGAAATAGCTAAGAGCATGAATGTGATTTTTTGGGGTTTAAGGAATCAAACGGATTCACAGTGACAGTTTGGGTTGTATAAGATTCCTTTAACATCCTCAAAACATTCAGCCATTAAATTCTTTAGGTTCATCGCTAATTTAACGTCCACTCTTCATAAGGATTCCAACTACACATCCTTCCTACATATACCAAACGCAATAAACGTAACTACATCTAAGTCTTCAATTATATCAACATCATATCCTCTAATGCATATCCATATCCATAACAGTCTCATTTGATGAGTCATAAAAATAATCCTAATACACTAAATAACTGCCATAAAAGACAGAAGAACTAATAGTGACTATGACAGCATGAAACAAAAAAAAAATATCCACTGGGACAGTCACTTATGAAGCCAAAAAAAATCGTCATCACGTAAATATTATGCAAGAAAGAATGGAAAGAGGAAACAGAAATGAATGACATTCGCTGCTGCTACATGTGCAGTTCATATTATTTTTTTGTGCATCAAAAATAAAAATAAAAATCGTTATGAAAAAAAAATTCTCGCTTGTAAAAAAAAATTTCAAGTTCAATGTCGATATGGAAGAAGTATGTCGGTTCCGAAAAAGGAAAAAAATATTTTTTTTGATGGGGTTGTGGAGATGTTGCGTAACTTTAAATATTGAAATTTTTTATTTGGTGTATAAGATACCTAAGTCGATGTAGAGCTAAAGTAAAGTCAAGTTTGACATGAAACTGGCCACAGAGTTGCTCGGTACCACAGACCTATTTGCTACGCAATAAAGAGAGAAAGTCAGTATGTATTCCTGGCTGTGAGTGACACATTCAACCTTTTCGAGACTAAAATCCACCTAATTCAGGGATAAAGCGTCCTTAGTCTATTTATAGTAGGTTGGTTACTAGTAATTACCCCCTCAACTAGATTGCCCACCACATAGCCATTAAGTAACATTAGACCAACCTAAACCCAGGAAATTCCCTTAAAACAAACAAACAGAATCTTCATAATTCCACCACCATTCAGCCACTCATTATTGCTTCCACAAAACACAAAGACTCCCGAAATAATGGAATTTAAATTTATTTTATGCTTAATAGTCATAGTCAGGTTAATTATTATTGTAATAAAGAAGGAACGAAAATAAAAGTTGAGATTAATTGTGATTGAATGACCTTTCTTCTCTCTTTCTCATTACATTTGCTTCCTGTCTCACCGCGCTCAGGTAGTTATCCCCAACAACAAAGGAACTTAAACGCTATTAAGTTCTCTGATCATTTTTTGTTCTCTCTACGGCTGTCGTCATGCATTCATTTACTAATTATATTGTCATTTCTAATGTGCCTTTTAAATTCCGACTGTGATTGTTGTTTGTGAGGGAATTGAACTTGAGGATGGGATAGAGTTGAATGTAATTTGGGTCATGTCAGAGCTATTTGACCGAAATGTCTTGGAAATAGTCAATTAGAATGTTTTGGACAAGAGTTTTTGGGGTTGAATTAGGAATTTTGATTGAGATATTTAAGGAATTTTTAAGAGAATTTACTTTAATTTTCTGGATGAAATAATTTTGAGTCTGCAGATACACGTGGATACTTGTGGCTTTAATAGAAACGAAATTCTGGAAATTAAATTAAAGTTTATAGATTTATTCTTGTTGTGAATTTGTTTAGAGTATTCAAACTTGAGCCTGAATGTCACAAAATAGTCATCAAAAGTTGGTTTCTTTGGGATACTCCAGAGTGAATCTATACAAGAGGGTTCCAGCACGTTTTGCTTTTAACATTAAACCTTCACAAAGATCTTAGATCACCTTAATGGCACTATGAAAGTTTATTGATTACCAAGAAAATAGAATTGACTTAAGTGTACAGCTGGAGGGAGATTAAACGTCAATTTTGTATATTTTTTTGGTAAAGTAGGTTGCAAATTATTCATAACAAAAAATACTTTTTGATGACTTTTATATGTTATCAGAATTTATTTAACTTCTCCTGTCCATAGGTCATAGCTGTGATAATGTAAATATTTTTTGTTTTTTTGACAAAATCATTTTTATTTTGCATTAATTTTCTAGAAAATTGAGATTATTTATTTTGAGTCTAGACGAGGGTAAGCTTAACAATACAACATATCTTAGACTTAAAACATTTTTGATCGATCTTTTGTAAGTTCGTTCACATCTGCACTCAAAACTAATAACAACAAGCCTAAATAAATATTCAATAAACTTAAATTATTCAGAAATATCAAGATTAAGTCCATTTCAACATCTCACAATTCATTCACGACTATAAAAATTCTACAACTTATATTTTTATATTTTTATATTATTTCGAAACAAGCTCAAATTATCGCAAATTTATTCTCGAGAAAAAGCTTCGACCTCAATTGAGCTAGTACATTACTATATCGCATGCAGCACAGCAGTAAACATACTCGAGTGTTATTTATACAAATTAATTTATTTGCATTATTTAGAAGAATAATTGGAAGTAATTTGAAAATTTATGCAAGTTAAGTGAAATGTATGCAATTTTGTGACAAGCTTTTCGTGAAAAGTTAAAGTAATTAAAAAAATTTATTTTTCTTTGTTGAAGTTAAAGGAAAATTGCTAAAGTTGTGAAATGTTCATTTAAATGAAACTTTGTTTGTGATTTGTTAGCAAAAAAAAATAATTTTAATTATTATGAATTTATGCATAGAAGTTTTAAAAGTTTCACGTTCATCTCGATGAGAATTCAACAATTTGCTTTGCTTAGATAAATTTGAATGTTTTGCTTAGATTCTAGATTTCTGAGAATTTCTAGAGAAGTTTTGCTGCTGATTATGCAATGAATAATTAGCTTCATTTTAATGATTCATTTAAAAAAAACAACTTTTGAAGATGCTTGATGCAATTTTGCTTGCAAAAAATTAATTTTTACTTTAAACTATTTTGAAAAATTTTAAAGATTTTAAATTTAAAAAATTTAATTTGTGAATATTTTTTATAATTTTGAAAACTAGCATTTTTAAAAATTGAATTTAATATTTCAAATTCAAATTATTTCTTTCACTCTAGGGAAAATGATTTATTACTAAATATGTCTTTTTTTGAAAGCAATGACACAAATATAGATGCATATATGCAGTAAATGAACTTGACTATCAATATTAAGATAAATATTAATCATATCTGTCATGATCTCTCAGTTCATCTCGTTTATTATATTTATTTTCAAACATATTTATTTACGAAAGAAAATCAATAAAAAGTCAAAATGATGTTCATAGTTTTGAAAGTTTGTAGATAAATATAGCCTAGCATTATTAGTTTCAACTTGTTTACTGAAATATAATTCAGAAGTTTTTATAAATGAATGCAATTGAAATGGACAGAAGTATAATAATAATAATTAATTAAGAAAAAGAAAAAAAACTAGTTTTTATATGAAAATTCAAAATTGTTTAATAAAATAAAATTTAAATTATTTGCAAGATTTTCTATTAAAATCGAAACAATTTAATTAAACTTTTTTTTTAAAAACAATTCGATAATCCACTCATTTTTAATCAAATTTAAAGACATCAAATAGTGCGTTTCAAATTAAAAACTGGCAATTTAAAAAAACTTAATTTAAACTTGCTCGTAAATGACTTGTTTTGAGTAATTGATAAAAACACAATTTTCTTAAATCTTTTTGCATTAAAAATCTTTTTCGGGATTTGAGGTTAAGAAAATTGAGGAAATAAAGCAAAAAATTAAAAATTCATCAAAAAAATTGAAATAAAAAACATTTTGCTGACTTTAGAATCTAGTAAACTAAACAAGCTGAATAAATCTAAAACAAGCAAGATTGAACTGAATTTAGATTCTCAATTGTCAGAGATACTCTTTAATTAATTAAGAGCGTTAGTAAAAGTATTACAATCAAACAAGACTGTTTATGTTTTAAGTTTCTATTTTTCAAATTACATCATATTGTATTATATAGAATGATCACATGAAATCAATTTAAAACCTATTTTAATAAATTTTTTTAAATTAAACTTTTCATCGATTTTAAACAGAGTTTTTGAAAATTGACAAATATTGATTTTTAAAATTTAAAATTCTCAATTTCAATTTAAATTCTTATCGAGAATATTGATTATTTTTGAATTTTGAATGACAAAGTTTAAGTTTTAATAAAGTTGAATTTTACTTTATTATTTTTTTATAAATTTCTTTTCATACTAATTTCCTCATAATCCCCACAAATTCATATCCAATTACATTCATTTAACTCAAAAAAAAACAAGATTACAGCACCTAATTTCATAAAATTGATTGAATTATTCCACAAGATTGCATTTCAATAATAATTCAACATTTAAATCCTCAACAGCAGAAGCAGCAGCATTTGTAACAATTTTAAATCCATCGTTGCAGAAATATTACAATATGAAAAGCTTTACAAAATGAAAAATTTCATCAATAAATGTCAACGGTAGAAAAATAGAAGAACTAACTCGAATAGAAAAGGAAAAGAATGAACAATGCACAATGCGGAGAGGAAAGAAGGCAAAAAAAATCAATCCACAAAATATTACACAACACTTTTTCTTTTCTAGTTTTTCCATTTGCGATTATGTAACGGAAAATTTTTTTTGGACGGTCGAATTTTCCGTTAAGACGATTAGCAAAAAATTTATGTATTTTGCAGGACATTGGACACTAGCGAAGGCTGAAACCATAGTCATGTCAAGAATCAACTCACCTGTGACAAATCCGAATCATCCTGAATTTTTTCGAGTAGAGTTTTCGAATAAATTTCGCCGATCGATATGAGCAGCACTAAGGTCGCTAAAAGCTTCATTGCCATCATTTTCACTTATTTATTTTATATTATTTTTTAATTCTTCTTCAGCCGACTGCTTGTGAATAATCCAGAACGGCACACGGTTAATTCCAATAATAATAATTTCTTTCAAATCTCACAAATCACTTAATATGTTGATTAATTCCATTCACATTAGCACTTAATGGCTGTTAAATCCACTAACTTATAATTTCGATAATTTTTTTCTAACTATTCTTAATTAATTTTAATTTTCATCCACAGAAAAACGTTAAAATTATTATTTTTTTTTCTTTTATTAATTCTTTTTACTTCTTATACTTTATATGTATGTATATATGTACTACACAACACGAAGCGTGCCAGAAAATAGCAAACGTACCGGTCGACAGACGAAAGACGAATGTTATGTGTGAGCTTAAAACTTTCAATGAAATCGCAACATTGAATGCTTCAATGCTTTAATGTTTCAATGCTTTGCCAATGTTTATTCCTCAAATTGCACTCAACCGATGAAGAAGTTGAGGACCGTTGCATCTATGACGTCATCGTTTGATTCTTTTTGTGTCTTTCATTGTCTGCTGCTGTTGTTTCTGTTGTTCATTGTTGTTCTTTTTAATTTCCATACTTTTTGTGCTGCTCGCGAGAGAAATGAGTTTGAAAAAAATTAAGAAAATTGCCAAAAGACTTTTTATTATGCTTGTGGATTATTTTTTTAAATCATTGGAAATGAAGTTGATTAAATTTTATGACTTAATTGAAGTAAATTAAGAACGGAAATTAAAAATTAGAAAACTTTTTTTTTTCTTAACCATCATAAATTTAATTTTTGCCAAGACTTTTATGGTAATTGTTTGAAAATTTGGATATAAATGAAATGGTCGTACATATAAAATGAGAATAAGGTGGCCCAATTTAAATGATCTATTTGCTTTTGACCTAAAAGTTGGAAATCTATGGAAAGCGAGTGAAAATAAAGATTTTTTTTGTGATTATTTTTTTGTTGATGAAATATTTTTGTTATAGTTTTTTTTGTGCATGATTTATGAGATCCATTAAGGTGGCTAGTACATTAAGATTTTATAGTATTGATTTTCTGTTCGTTGTAGGTTTGTATTGTTAAGCTTTCTTTTTGGAAATTTATTAGAAAATCAATTTATTAAGTGAAATTTTATATGATTTTAAGATAGATTCTTTGGGGACCGTTCACTAATGACGTTCAGGAGGGAGTGATGGGGGGGGGGGGGGGGGGGGGGGGTAGCAAGAAAAGAAGAATAGAAATGACCGATAACTTTGGACGTAAAAAATGAGCGACCTCTATACTAGATTCAACGAAATCAGTGGGTCGGTTTCAAAAGCTATCTAGAGTATGATATGGCAATCATCCCCAAAAGGCTACATAACCTTCAAAAACCTCCCCAATCAAATAAAAATTCCATGTGTGTGGCATAAATAAAATCAAAATTCCCCAATAATTCCATCAATTACACTCCAAGAGTTCATCTACTTAACAAATGACGCCGATCGTGTGTTAAGCCAACAGCATCAATTACATAACCATTTTTTTCCTCCGTTCATTGGCAGCATCAATTTTATTTTCTCACATTTCATAAAAGAAAATAAAAATATGAAGATCTTTGATTTTTTAAAAAATAAACAGTAAATAACCACAAATTTTCAATCATTAGTTTTATTCATTTCCTAACCACTTCTTCCCATTTGCTTCATTCTTGGCTTGAAAAATAAAATGATTAAAAAAATCTTCAATTTCACTTGAAATGAAAATAATTTGAAATCATTTAACGGGTTTTTATTCGATTAGAAGCGTGGTAAAAATTCAAGGGGTTGGTCATTAAATGAGGTCTCACAATATGGGTTAGATCCCGCCTCCCACTTGTTACCTTAATTGCAAGGCATTCAAATAAATCAAATTATGTTAATATTAAGCTACAGAAGTGCAAAAAATCTATTTCGGGCAGTCGTCATTTATGAACGACCCCATAACAAATTTTATAGTGTATTTTTGAATTGTTGCATTAGCATCGCTCTGGTTTAATGCATTACCAGCTCAAAAATATCCCAATCAGGCAGAACATTCCATAAAACATTGAACCAAAACATTCAACATTCAAAAACATCAAAATTCAAACTTGCAGCAGCATAAAAAGTTTATTATGAGACGTGGAGACATAAAATGTGACAAAATGCATCATGTCAATAAAACAAAATTTATCTCATATATTCCATTTTTGTGATCTGAATGCAAAACTATTGTCTATTATGCTGAAACATATAAATGACATAAAAGTGTCATTGTCGCTGGCTATAAGTTTATTAATAATTAGGTGCGGCACAACAGAACACAATTTTGAAGGCTATGAATGGTACACTCATATTGAGTACATAACAAATATGGAATTTATCTCTCATTAATCACGACCGTATTGATATTATGGCGTTTCATGCTGATCTCATTGAAATATTGGAATTAAAATGTTTTCATGCACTTTCGATGATTTTTTTTTTCAGTCCGCAAGTCGATTTCATTTTCAGTCATTTGTGCATGTTTTTCGATCATTACACGAAAGCAAACATGTAAGGAAGGAATTTTTTGTCAACTGAGGGAATAAGTTTGCAAGTTTGTGAAATTTTGAGTTTAAGAGTGGATAAAGCGCATTTTTATTAGGTTTGAATTTTATGCTGGTTTTTGAAAATGCTCTGATTTTTTGTCAAAAAAGCTAAGAACTTTGTCCAAATGTTGAATGTGTTTTTAAAAAAGCTCAATTTCTTATCAAAAAGCTCAATTTCCAGTCAAAAAGCTCAACTTCTAGTCAAAAAGCTCAACTTCTTGTCAAAAAGCTCAACTTCTTGTCAAAAAGCTCAACTTCTTGTCAAAAAGCTCAATTTCCAGTCAAAAAGCTCAATTTCCAGTCAAAAAGCTCAACTTCCAGTCAATAAGCTCAATTTCCAGTCAAAAAGCTCAACTTCTTGACTTTTATCTTGACATTGATCAAGACTATGAATATAAAATCCAGTCATACATGTAATCAAAATATTATAGAATGAATAAACGAAAAACCCTCAAATAAATAGAAGGTCACACATCCATATAAACAGATGAAAATAGAAAGGACAGATAAGCTACTTGATAGACCATTGTATTGTTTTAATACCCAAAAGGAGCTATAGCAATGGAAGAAAATAAAGCAATGATCCGTAGGCATGCAAAGCGTAGATGAAACGACTGATAATCTAGGCACATGGACAAAATTAAAGCAAAACAAATAAAACATAGATCATGACTACTTCCACTCAACTTACAGACGAAAAATATGCTCAAAATACGCCACACAGTCTACATGCTCACATTTTTAATTGAAAAGGCGCCAAGTTCATGTTGAGAATGGATATCGTTTTGAGACAATTAAATTCCCTGTGCATTTTTTTTTCTTCCTCCAATTCCTTCTCGTTCAGGATGAAAACAGCAAAAATGAAAATGAAAAGTTTTTAAGTCGCTAGCTGCTTGCATATACATACACACACATTAACTAGAAAAAAAAATGGCTATTAGGAATTGGAAGCAGGAGGGGTATAAAGTTTTCGCCCACAAGGCGTCTCGTGTCTCGCGTGAAAAAATAACACAAACGAGCTGGCTTGGGGATGGAAAAAAAATGGTTTTTCTTGGGTTTTTTTTGCATAATCGTTGCTAAGTTTTAAATTTTTTTTTGGTCTGTATATTTATGTGCTTAAAAGGCTTAATGTTTATACATTTTTTAAAGTTACTCTGAGAAATATAAATAAAGTGTGGTTGATGTTATGATTGAGAGGGATTGGTTGGAGATATTAATGTAAAGTCAGGATTGAAGTTGCAACAAGATTCGCTGTATCCTGTTCTGGATCACAGTCTGCAGTTCATACTCAACTGACATCTATATCGAAAAATAAGCCTGATCAAAAAATACAGCAAATAGTTCATAACCTGCAATATTTCATCCAATTACTAAAATTGCCGCTCTAATCGAGCGACGCGAAAGTATCGATTGCATATAACCATTATTCATAAACTTTTCAATATTCATAAAAAATATTTGCCATATTCCATTAAAAATAAACCAAACATTATTTCCTGTATAAACATATATAAAAGAATCCAAAGTCATCCACCCCATAATTTCGCAAAATTGCTTGCCGCCAATAACAACTATCGATTCCGTTTCTAGGAACAGTAAAAGAAATTAAGGACGATGAAAAAAAAATGACGCATATGTTGGTGCTATCATTTTCACCATCGACATAAATTGAGCATTTTTTTTTTTTCATTATGGATATTTACATTGAGGAATACACAGACACAGGTCTATGCCCATCAAGAATGACAATAATAATTTTATGGCATTACATGCGGTAATGGAACGAGAAACTTCGTATTCAATTAATTTGAATCTACACATTTTTTTATGTCCAAACTATTATTGTGTTACTATTTATATGATGGGCTGTTAGGTATGAGAAATTTTTAGTGCGTTTTCTTGATTTATAGCATATGGTTTGGTGGTCAGAGTTTATGGAGATGTTGCGGTTTGTCTTTATGGAATTTAAGGTTTGATAGTGGATTTGAGGGAATTTGTGGATGTTTCGAGATGTTTATTAAATATGTTGATGAATTATGTAGGCTAATCTGCCAGTGCTAGAATAAGACCTGAGTAGCTGAATGGTTAGAGAACAGAACTGATATTTAAAGATCTCTTTGTGATGATGTAGGTTCGATTCCCACCAGATGACATTCTATTCAATCAAATATATAACCTTGTCGATATTACAAGGACCTATTCTAGCTATTGTGTCTTTTATGGCAAGAACCGACATAGGTTTAGCCATAGAATTGCCCTCAAATCTATAACAGCCATTTTAAGCTCTTTAAAAAATCAATCCATCAACTTTAGGTGACTTTTACACTCACCTTATCTACAAACCATATTGCGTGCATATTTTATTGTCATACATTTCGCATGAATGCATGTCAGGATGATCGTCACAACATCTAGTCATTTAAAAACATAGCTTATATCTAATCATATTCTATCTACAGCCCGTCCATATTCAATTAATATGTTGCTTTAAGTTGATTAATTAGAGTTATTAAACACAAAATAACTTCCATTTTGGGGTGAACAAATTTCCTATTCTACACGACTTGTTGGATCACTTTTATGTGCCTTAATAAAAGAACTGCCATAAAAATGTTTGTCTGTATGATAATAATTTGAATTTTTTTTTTTTTTGACGAGTGGGAAATCATGTCTATTTTTATACATATATGAAGGAAAAAGAAATTATGTTTCACGTTGATAGTCGTTAATTGAGTGGTAATGCACATAAAAATATGAAATTTCTAATAATATAAAAAAATAGCATTTCAAGTATCTTGGTAACTATTGGCAAACAAAAAGCAGCACGAGAAATCAAGGTGAATAGAAATAAAATATAATTTATTTTTTTTTTTTTTGAAAAATTGAGAGGGGGAAGTGAGCCTTTTTAAGGTTGTCTAGCGGTCGCAATGCATTTTTTATTGATTTTATTTTGTCGGTAAGGATGATTGAGGGATTTTGACAGGAAGTGCTTTGTAGATATGGAAATGAGCTATGGAATAAAAAATATATATTTCAATTATAGACTTAGACTTGAAATAATGCAGAAAAATGTGAAAGCTGAAAGAGAATTGTGGATTGTTTGGGATGGTAAATTTGTTTGTAGAATGGATTTTGATGGGAAATAGTTAATCGAAGCAAGAATAGGCTAAAATATGGACATACTTCCGTCATAAATAGGTTTAAGTAATGTAAATTGCAATTTATAAGTTCCTAAGTAAGAAACAGTTCATAAATATATAAACACATAGTCAGCCTAGTTGACAGACATTTGTAAGTATGTTAATGCAATAAAACAATGTAGCAACTAGATTTTAACTTGAAAGATGCCAAATAAAGTATATAATCCACATCATAAGCATGAAACTTGGTACAAGCCAAATGCTTTCACATATTGGTTATTGCAGCTTATTGAATCCAAATTTTAAGAGTCAGTTCCAACAAAAACATTATAAATAATGCAAGCTTTGGATATAAACCAGCGTAAGTCTTTAAAAGCTGATCTAAGTTTCTGTGAGGGTCAATTCCTTGTTACAGACAATTAAGATTAAGTTTTGCAAGACCCACATGCTACAGCACTGGTTTAAATCCTTATTTCATGCCTCACAAATCAAATTCCGACCACTAATCCTCATTTCCTCGCAAATTACTACATTAATGCAATCTTAATTCCTCTTCAACGTCCTTCTCAGAATGTCCTTCAGTCAAATTACTTCCACATTAAATAAACATTGTTATAACTTAGCAGCTTACTGAATGAAAAATTCTCTCCTTTATTTGTGAAAATTGTCTCCAAATTAATTATCCTAATTATCATTAGTCCACCATTCCCACTTCCATTCCTTTAAAAGAACTTTTTCATTATTTTCAGTTTCCGACCTCAATTTTTCACTGACTTGCCTTAGTCGATGGGATAAGCAAACAAAGAGATAAAAGAAGTAGAGAGTTCCACTCAATTACGCAAATTGCATCATTTTGGAACTCCCCGTGCAATTTTTTTCCTCAAATAAATTTTTTTCATTCATAAAATTGAGAATTTTTTATTTTTCTGCGAATAATTTCATCAAATGAAAAATTTATTATTCAATCACCACAAAAAGATTTATGTCCATGTCATTTAACTCCATATAAATACTGCTCATATTTTCAACAAATTAAATTAAAAAGGGTTGCAAAAATTTAAACAATTTTTGTTAATTAAATTTAAACAAAAAATTAATTTTCAACACTTTTTTTTGTTTTTTTTTTTGTGTGCTGCTGGTTGCTTTTCAGAGTTGGTTGTCTGGATGTAAGCAATAATTCGATAGAACTTGGTTTTTAAGTCTAATGGAAAGTGGATATCTTACAGAGACATAAACAAGGACTTAAGAAAAACCAGCATAAACCTGACTAATTTCAAATCAATGTCAGGCTCTTCCAACTTATCCAAAGACACCTAAAAACAAACTATGAATCCTTCCATGAATTGACAAAAGTGTGAAAGGTGAACTGAATATTCACAACCTCAGAAAAGAGGAAAATTTACTTCTTTCAACCGTAAAATTAAAGAATTTTTATCATTTTTCTATTGATAGGATTCACAAGCACAAGAACCACCCGAAATAAATATAATTCTAAAAAATAAAAATATTAGCAATAAAATAAGAAAAATTTCCATGCATAAAAATAAATTTCATCATCAATCAAGGGACAAGTGGATGAATATATTGGCGATAAATTAATGAAACGAAAGAAATAAAATATTAAAGTGGGTTGGAATTTTTCAAGTTTAATAAAATTCAATTTATTCAAATCGCTTCAAGCGAATTTTTTTTTCCTTTTTCATTTAGAATGATTTTTGTTGTCGTTGTTGTCGCTACCCCCTTAAGGCATTTAAAGCTATGATTATTGATATAAGAATAGCTCTTATTTCATGTAAATGTTGTATTTAAGAATATCAATTTTGTGATGAATTTTTGAGATACTTGAGAATGATTAAGAGATGAAATATTTATCAAAATGAGTAAATTGTTGGATGTTCTTGAATGTTTGAGGATTATTTGCTTTTGTCATATTTATCACTGCTTATAAAAGACAATTTATGGTTCATTTGGTCTAAACAAGTGGAAGACGTGGTTCCAATCTTATCAGATTTATTTCATACCTTTAAGCCAGTCCATTAGCACAGTTCTGGTTGTCCTTAATGCTTGATAGGCTCTTGTACACATATGTTTCCTATTTTTGATAGGCCTTAGCATTGAGCTCGCATTGAAACTGGTTATATGTACATGATGGATAGCCGATCTAGTGGTCAAAGATCACCTCTTTTGAGGTCGTGGGTTCGATTCTTATCAAACCCGACTTGTTTTACATTAGTATACACATATGGCAATTATGGGGAGATCTGCAATCATAATTGTAGCTACTACCTTACTTCTTTGGCTAAAGCACACTTGATTTTAGAGTTAACAGAGCATGCATTCCTGATTTAAGGAATACAACTGAGAATTAATCCGTACGAAAACTCTTTAATGACATAACACTCCTTAAAGATTCAGAACAATTTAATAAATTCCCACAATTTTAAAGAAGATTAGTCTTCAACTCTTCTCATTCAATCAAGGCAATGAACCATTTTTTACTCCATAAAATGTTAAGCAAAAGAAAAAAGATGATAAATGATTTCGTCATCCTCGTCAACGCAAGAAAAAAACAAAATGTCAAGATAATGTCGCAAAGAAAAAATACTTAAATCTATGCCTTCAAGCAACTCCCTCAAGTTTCACCCGTTACAATTCATTTCCGCGTAGACATCCGGTTGTGTCTTCATCTGTTTTTCCTTTGAAAAAAAAAATGTTTGCGGTATTTCCATCACAAATTTCATCCAATAAACACGCGAAATCGACAAATTGGAGGAAATTAAAATGTTTTTTTAAGGGTGTAAATTTATGAGACATTATGGTTGTTGACATGACGACATCAACTCATCCGTATACGACACATAAAAAAACATAAAATGTAAAATGAGGCATTTATGTAAATAGCAATTATCCATGCGACAGGAACAAAAAAAAATTCGTGTAAACACAGCAGCACAACATAACAGATGGTTCGTCCGATGAAGATTATAGGCATTAATGCTCATACTAGCACATTAAAATTGCAATAATCATTTCATTATGCAGATGTCATCATCATTGACATTCTGCCAATCCCACGTGATTAAATTGAATTTTTTTTATCATTCGATGTAAATATTTTTTCAGAGGGTAATAATGTGTAAGGCCTTCGGGCTATGACCTTGCTAAATATGCGTGTAAGCCGTAAAGTCAGGAAAGAAATCTTTTAAGGTGAAAGAATTTACGCTTCTGTGGCATTTGAAGGAATTTTTCCTTTCGTGTCTTGAATTGTGCGAAAATAAAGAAGAAGATGAGCTGCTTTTATCGTCCATAAAAATTCCTTGCCACGGCTTATTTTTAGAATATGAAATTGAAATTAAATTGTATTTTTATGGAGGTTACTTTGAGGTAAGAGGTTTTGTATTATTTATTGGCTGCAAGTTGATTATTCGATGATTTTTATTGAAAATTGGTTTAAAGGAATCTTGTCAGAAGACAGAGAATTGAGCACATTGAGAATCAAACACACGTCCTTACTTAAAAAAGATTTCTTGCATCCAAACTATTGACTTATTAATTAGCTTATTAGGTCTTTTTGTCGCAATGACAGATTTCCCAATAAATAGCTTGATGTCCCAGATTCTACTCAGTTCAAACATCACAGTAAGTACCCCCTCTACTTCCTTCAATTTTTCTAAATTTGTCAAATCAACTTTTTTTCAATATTCAATTAATTTTCCATTTGTTGATGATTTTATCGACGAAATTTACTATCTGACTATAAAATGATAACATTGACGATAATATAAATTGAAAAATGCCATTAAAATATTTTTTCAGTTTCGCTCCTCAAACATAATTTTGTCACAAAAAACATCCCCTCGTCAAAAAACTGCTTGCTATTAAAATCGCACGACGGTGAAGACGAAAAAAATTCCAGTTTCTTTGGTTCCCTTTTCATTTTAATACAATTTCCCAAGAAAAACATATATTTTCTATATAAATCGCTCTTCTACGATACGGTGGTGTCGTTGTGTGTTCATTCCGTATTCATAAATACATTAAAATGAAATAAACAAAATCATTTCCTGTCTGAAATTTTTGTTTGCTTCTTCCTCGGGTTCTTCGTTTTATGCAAAAATGGCGGCATGCAATTTTCTTGTCATCACTAGAATTGTTATTTAATTTAATGTTGTTAAACAGCTCTTTGATGTGCTTGTTGTTCAGGGAAAATTTATTTTTTGAGGATAAAATGAAATTTATTTTTGAAATTTTCAAGGAAATTTAATTTTAGGATTTATTAAATTTTTGAGTAAAGATAAGCAAGTGTCTGACTGAGAATCTAATATCACATTGAATACTCTAGGTTAAAAATGTGGCGTATAGTACAAACTTCATATTGCGCCTGCAACGTATACACTTTCAATCGATATTTTAAACCATGATTTATGTTCATAAGTCATTATATCAAATAAATCCCGTGAATTCCTACAACAATAGTTACCTACATAAATTGTTTGGTACTGAATTTTAAAGTTCTACTTTGTGCCAAAATATAGGCGATTTTCGGATGTGTTTTGCTTCTTTGGATCTTTTGAGGGCCTAATCTGAACCTATTAAATATTTGGACTGCAAGACAAAGTTCCAGTAGGTAAGTTTTTGCTCAAAAAGTAATAAATCCCTTAACCAATAAACACCATCATTCCTAATCTTAACAACTAAGAACAAAACCTTTGATTAGATAAGCGATTCCTATAAATTTGAAACATCTTCAACTAAAAAAACTAGTTTCGTGTTACAAGCTGAATACTTCAAATCCTAAAGTCAAAATGTTCAAATTCGCATTCGTTTTATTATTGGCCATCTCAGCCACTCAAGCTCAATCATACTGGTCAGGATGCCCTGGAATTTTGGGACCAACAACACTTACATCACCAGTTTGCTCTGGATCAGCATGTACAGTCGTTCAAGGAACAACCTCAGTTTTCCAGTCAACCATTAGTTTCACTAGAGCTCATTCTCATTTGATGACAAGATTGACAGTCTTCCTTGGCGGTGTTGGAGTTGTTATCCCACAAACACCACCTCATGATAATGGCTGCAACGCTTTATTCAGAGACGGAGTTCAAGTTGGATGCCCAACAATCCCAAATGTACCAACAAGATATGACCTCACATTGACAATCACGACAGGAACTCCAGTCACAAATAATGCTAATGTCCGATGTAAGTATAAGTTAAAGAGTAAATTCAATTGAACGAGAAACTTAATATTGTTAAAATTTATAAAATTTCAGTCGAACTTTTGGAAAATGGAGTCGTTGAAGTTTGCGCTAACATTGTTGCCAATATCGTTGCTGCATAAATGAATATCTGACATTTTGTTCTTAAAATTATGGAATAAAAAAACTTATATTTAAATTAAATTGATATCTTTACTTAGCTTATTATACTCATTTATCAAATTCATATGAAAATAACATTATGTAAAGGCATCCATAACCTAGTCCAACAAAAGACCTTATCATTTCCAAACTTTCATTTTATACCAATAAACAGCAAGTCCAATACTCTTTCATTTAGACCATTTGATAATTTTTGCTACTGATAATTTAATATATAATAAGTTCTTATCTTAACATTGCAATTCTTAACTTTACATAACATTATCCCCTGCTATACCCGATAATTTTGTGTAAGTTCTCATGATAAGATAAATTTTTAGTATAAATTCGAACTTTCTTTGTTAAATCAATCAGTTTCGTGTCTTAGCTGAATACTTCAATTCCTTAACAAAATGTTCAAGTTCGTTGCATTGGTTTTACTTTTGGCCATCTCAAGCACTCAGGCTTACTGGTCTGGATGCCCTGGAATCTTAGGACCAACAACCCTTACATCACCAGCCTGCTCAGGATCAGCATGTACAGTCGTCCAAGGAACAACCGCCGTATTCTCATCAACAATCAACTTCACTCGTGCTCACTCTCATTTGATGACCAGATTGACAGTCTTCATTGCTGGAGTCGGTATTGTTATCCCACAAACACCACCTCATGATAATGCCTGCAATGCCTTGTTCCGTGACGGAGTTCAAGTTGGATGCCCAACAATCCCAAATGTACCAACAAGATACGACCTCACATTGACAATCACAACAGGAACACCAGTCACATCCGGTGCTGATGTCAGATGTAAGTTTAAGTTCTTAAATATCTGATAAAAATTGAATCCAGTAAATGAAGATAATTTAGGTTGGGAATAAGTTTAAAGCTAGTTTTTGGATTTAATTAAAAACAGTTATGTGAGGAATCATACTAATATTCAATTTTATTTCTAGTTGAACTTTTGGAAAATGGAGTCGTTGAAGTTTGCGCTAACATTGTTGCCAACATCGTTGCTGCATAAATGATTATCTAAAGAAAAAAATAATTAAACACCAATAAAATTTTAAATTCAAATCAAATATCTTTATCTTTTTTATTGCTTTTATATTTCTGATATTTCAGGATCATAGTTTGAATTTGAAGCTTTAACAGTTCAATTATAATTTAGACAGGATTTCTTAAAATATGCTTTATGTACCTCAAAGCGATAGGCAGAACAGTAGCAATAATAGTTTTCATATAACAGAGAATCAAAAAAAGGGTCATGAATCATTGATGCTGTGTCGCAGCCTGCAAAGTTTCAGAAAACCTGTTTTTAATGGTTTTGAGACACAAAAATAATTTAAAAATATTGTGGTTTTCGAAGTTGACATTAAGTAAACTGAGTATTGTATTATGTTGGTTTTACTAGATTAATGATTCATTGGGAATATGCTCGCATCAAATGCGTTACATGCTACTCAAAAATTCAAAAACTAAGTATTGTTTGATGATCAAATAACTGACCATCAGGAAATAATTCTTTGAATTTCATTTGTGAAGCTATCATACATATTTAATGCATAATTTGAACATTTTAGAACATTTCAGTAACATTAATACCAAGGAACAAAAGTACCAGACATAAAAAGGAACAAGAATTTTGTAGAAAGTCAATTTGACTCTCTTCAGAACTTAAGAAATCATTCGACATTCTAATTGTAACAATATCATCATCCATGACCTAGCGCAATAGCAGAACTTATCATTTGTAGACTTATTTTATACTCAAATACCACCAGCAGAGCTGACAAGTCCAACACAATTTCATTTAGACCATTTTGATAATTTTTGTTACCGATAATTTAATATATAACAAGTTCTTATCTTAACTGTGCAATTCTTAATTTTACATAACATTATACTTAACTTAATAATTATACGTAAATTCACACGATAAGATAAGTTATGACTATAAATATCCACTTTCTCTAAGGAATCGATCAGTTTCGTGTCTTAGCTGAATACTTCAATTCCTTAACAAAATGTTCAAGTTCGTTGCATTGGTTTTACTTTTGGCCATCTCAAGCACTCAAGCTTTCTGGTCAGGTTGCCCTGGAATCTTAGGACCAACCACAATCACATCACCAGCTTGCTCTGGAGCATCATGCACAGTCGTCCAAGGAACAACCGCCGTCTTTTCATCAACAATCACCTTCACTCGTGCTCACTCTCATTTGATGACCAGATTAACAGTCTTCATTGCTGGAGTCGGTATTGTTATTCCACAAACACCACCTCATGATAATGCATGCAATGCCTTGTTCCGTGATGGAGTTCAAGTTGGATGCCCAACAGTACCAAATGTACCAACAAGATACGACCTCACATTGACAATCACAACAGGAACACCAGTCACATCCGGTGCTGATGTCAGATGTAAGTTGTGGACATGAATCTATTTCGTTTCTGGTCTAATGACTTTTGATTTTATTTCTAGTTGAACTCTTGGAAAATGGAGTCGTTGAAGTTTGCGCTAACATTGTTGCCAATATTGTTGCTGCATAATTGAGCCATGATTTGACATTGAATTAATTTTCATCTTTATCATCATCAATTTAAAGAAATTAATAAACAACATTTAGTAGCAAAAAAATTAATATTTATTGTTTTTAATTTAATACATTTCAGTAAAGGTGCTCCAATTACAAAGTATTAAGCATCTCATAAAATTTCTAATCTGAAGTTTGGAAGGAAATTCAGTAAACAAAAAGAAACAAAGTTTGATAAGATAATGCAGATTAACTCCTGCAAATAAAAATTGATTAGATATATTTTTAATTGCCAATCAGTCACAAGTTGATATGATTACAATTCAGGGTTATGGCTTAATTCAAGGTCAGTGTGCTTGTGAGTTACTGTGCCGATGTCTGAATGCTATTTTTGGGACTTTATTAAACTTATAAATATATTACAATCGTGATTTATAAGTTTATATGACCAATTGTGTTTATTAGTGCTTAAGAAGCTGTTCGGACGGTTGGCTTTTCAGTTTGGAGATTAAGGCAGATGTTATGGAATTTTGACTATGAGAATTTATTGAATTAAGGCAAAGACAATATGAAAGTAAAGTTATTGAAATATCCAAGCCTGCAGCAACCAATCATTAACCTCGATAGCCGAACAAGTCTAATTAAGGTGTTGTTTTTCAATGCAAATGTGAGTTCGATTCCAAACAGCATCCATTCTCACATCCAGTTGAGCTTGCAGAAATGTTCACGACATCAAAACATGAAAAACCTTAGATCAGATATTGTTATCAATGCAGACCTTTGCATTTAAAATGTATTTTCCAATTTATCAACCTATTGATGATATTCTCAAGTAAACAGTCTCAAGATGCATTCAATTTTAATTATTTTCAAAGGTTGGCTTTAATCATATTCTTCTTACTTAAGTAATCGTTACGAAATTGATAAAATCAGCTCAAAGGTAAGCACTTGAAGTTGTTTCGTAGGTTTGCGATAGCTTATTTTTTCCGTCGTTGGGGATGTCAGGTAGTACATGCTATCTTACGATTAATTTATATTTTAAAGTTGTTTTTTGTTTGTCAAATTGAACCTTATTGTTTTGTAAATAAGTCTATAAAGCATGAATCATTTGGAACTGAAATCAAGCTCAAAGAATCGCTGGGACAAAGTTGTCACGGATAGCAATCTGGATTCTGTGTTTCCAAGATTCCAAATAGAGCCTTTGTGCTGTTTGCCTCAAGTATTCCCAAAAACATGAAATATAAAGCAAAATGAATTCATGTCATCCAAAAAAAAAGAAGCTTGCACAGCAATAAATTATTCTTATTCTTACTGCTATAAATAAATTAATAATGTCCAAAATGAAAATCAATTTTCATAATTGAATGTCCGCTTTTAACCTCCTTTAATTCCGTTGTTATTCCATTTATTCTTTGCTATTATTGTGTCCGTTGACATTTCAATTTAACTGTGTATTAACTGTCATCTCTGTTTATTCTTCTTTATGTGATTGTTGTTACACTTCTGTTTATTGTTTGGTGTGGAAATGGGCAGTACGTTTACATCATAGCGCTTTTTTGTTGAACAATAATTCTATTAGGGAAATTGGTGGAGGAAGAAGATACTTCCGCAGGATAGAAGAAGAAGCTTTTGTTGTAGAGCAGTTAAGCCCAGTTTATTTGTTGGATTAAAGCTCGCTAAAATTATGTCTTTATGATTTATTGGCTGTTTTTTGTTATCTTTTTTCAGTACTTCTTTGATAAGAATTCAGAATTGCGTGTCAAAAGCGTGAACCTTTTGCGTTTTATTCATCAATAAACAATGAGTGCAAAGAGTCCGATGTGGTCTGTAAGAAAAATCCTGAAATTTTCACCACGATTCTAAAAATAGTCAAATCTTGCTCATACCGGTATTTTGAAGCATCTCAAGCCATATCTTTTACCAAACCGAACTTAAAACTTTGCTTCCAATTATATCATAGATAGCAACAACAAAACGTATTTCGATTGACGCAATTCAAACCTTATCAATTGTACAATTATTTTTTTTTTGCTTTGCAGGTGTAGATTGATAAAAGAGTGAATTGATAACATTGTAGCTTATATGCCATTAATTCAATGCCTTAATGATAACTTGAAGGCAATTGCAGTTTTTGGACTCAAAAGATAAGCTCTTGATGATAAATGGAGCAAATCTTTGAGAGTAATAATTTTGATAAGAAGCTTTCTAGAAAATGATACAAGGTAAGGTTTGGAGATTAAGATTGCAATGAGTAACTAAGGGAGCTGAATAGATATGGCAACAAAGTCGTAAATTGAGGAGATATGACTAAGTATGATGCTTAACTGTAGCTGACTGATGTAAGACTGAAATGAGCTTAAAACCTCGACTCCCAATATCAATCTAAAATTCAACATGAGCTCAGATTTTTCTGGTTGTAGCTATTGATGCCACTTTTTTGAGTTATTTTACATTCAAACTAGGTTTGAATTAGCTTTAAATCCGAAATTATCTTGATAAAACTTTTTGAGGTGAGACAGAAATAATTTAAATTTTAAAAAACCGTTAAAATTTATAAATAATGAGAAAGTGTACGACTGAAAATATCAAAAACATGAGTTCGATTCTCAATCTTGACAACTGTTAAATTGTTCAAAAATTTAACTTTAGTCATTATCAAATGCCAGATTCTCAAAATCAAGACTTAAATTTCTTTCAAAAAATCCTCATCATGATTCTCTTCAACAACAAAAAAGCACTAAGATAAAGATTTTCATCATCAATTTTCCCGTAGCACATCTGACATGCAGAAAATACATGAAAAATCATCTTCAACTGCGTCAGAAAAACAGCCAAGCAAGCAAGAAAAAAGGAACTTAGACAATAAATAAAAAATTCTCTTTTTATTTCCGATTTTTCTCATGACTTTTATTGATATTTTTCATGAGAAAAAGATGATGAAGAAACTTTCAATCGATTTTTCATCGTCAGTGCCTTCTTTCGCTCGCTTCTTAATACCAATTTATTATTTTTACATTTTTGCCTTTTTTTCTGGGATGCTTTAAAAAAACGCACGAATTTGAGAAAATTTTTCATGCTGGCAATAACTTAAAATAATGCGAAATAGAAAAGAGCGTGAGTAAGGATGATTTTTTTTCAAAAGAATCGACTGAGCTTACAGTTTTCCATCCCATCTCGTTTACATGATTAAGAAGGCATTTTTCTGTTCTTCGAGTAGCTTTTCAACTCACTTATCATTCAACTTAATCTCTCACTAATGTGGGTCTTGTTACTGTCGACGGTTTGTTAGTTCTTTTATTTGTTGCTACAAAATGGAATAGGCGTGCAGAATTTATAATGTATGTAGCATGTAGCATCATACATCCATACCGTACCGTATGAATTGTGAATTAAAATATGTTTGGAGGATGAAAGAGAATGCGAAATAAAAAAAAATAACATTTTATGTTGGCTCGTCTCCCTTTCATGTATGTACATCTGTGTGTGCATGTCTTTGTGAACATGTGTGAATATTTGAATGAATTAAATATTAAATGTTTTTGCATGAAACGTAATCAATTCCTTCGAGCACTTTTAAAGTTGGATTTTAAATTTTTTTAGCCTTCCTTGTCAGGTTTTCTGTTGGATAAAGGAATGAATTGGAGGTAGAAAGGAGAAATAAGTTTTAAAGTAATGAGTGGCATTAAGGTAAGTAGTAAGTGTGATATTATGTCTTTTGTGCTTGGCTGGTGATTATTGTGTGTTTTACACTCCCTTTAAAAGCTTTTGTGTTCTGTTGATAGACTTAGGTCGATTTCAGGGTAGTAGCCAGAAATGCAGTTATCGAACTCATACTTTTTCAGATTAAATAGTCCATCGATTCTTAGAATTTAAGTTGTACCGACATATTCCATGCAAACCCCTTAATTCCACCTCTTAGTCAAGCTAATCCCACACTTCCATAGTTATCAGACTGATAAAGACAAACGGAAGTAGCTTTTTGACTCACTTTACATCTTATTTCGCTTAAAAACTTCCATCGTATGCTTTGCTGACTGTGAAAATAAAAGGCTATGGAAATAAATTCAAAAGAAAGGTTTTTGGTGCCTTCAAGCAGTCTAAGAATAAAAATTTATTCCTTTTTTGCGTTTATGTCTGAATAATAATAAAAAGGAAGTAAGTGGAATTATTTTGTTAAAAATTCTATTAAACTATTTTTTTAAGGCAGGTTTTGGCATTTTTGGGGAATGTTATTTTTGAAATGGGATGCTTTGTACCTTTAGATGACATTTTGTCAAGAAGTACAAAATAGATGCACAGTTTGGTAGAGTTTTAGTCAATTATTAGACTTCTTTGAGTACAATTCGCAGACATTAGAGTTGTATTAAATTATAAGCTACAGAACTAGGATTATAGCTTGTAGATTCTTCTTTCCTGGTCTAAAGCTAGCTTTTATACCAAAGCTTCAACTAAGCGCAATATTGGTGCCTTGTATGACGCCAATCGAGGGCAGGATACACTTTGTTCTATAAGTTACAACTCATAATGCAAGACATAAACTTATAATGCTCAACAAGCCATCCATTGAACCAATTTTATTTTATAAAATCTTTAAACTTTTTTATCCAATCTTGTTTGACTTTTATCCTCCATACACTTGTTTGCATTTCATTCAACTGCATTTCTCTATTGTTGAAAATCATAAAGCAATTGAAAATTCATTCCACCCTTAATGCCACGATGAATGAATTTAAAAAATTTTTTGTTAAAGTTCATTGTATGTTGTAAGAAAAGGAACAGAAAAAAAAATTATTTCAATCTAGCATGAACGCGAGGATGAAAATGTCGAGAAGACGAGAGAATGAATAAATTGAAAGTGCTTTAAATACTGATGAAAATATCAAGCAGGATAAAAGCTGCTTGACGTGTAGTTAAAGGCAATATGTTGCTCTAGTTACTGCACAATTACTCTCATGTGACATCGCTCGCTTTTGCTTGTCGTTTTATTGTGTCATTGTACATGAATATTCTTTGATGCTCCATGCGTTTTAATGGATTTAAATTCTGGCTTCGTCTTTTTTATTGAAACTGTACTTAAAGTTAAGTGAATTTTTATTGGAAATTTTGGATGGGAATATTGAGATTTTGTGAGAATATTTTTGTTGTAGGTTGATTTTGTGATGGTTTGGATTTGATCATGTCAGAATTGATTAGGATAGAAATGATGTTCTCTCTATTTTACATTTAGGTACCCATTGATACTTGATTATAAACTAGAATTAAGGGCATTACTAAGCTTTGATACTAATATTGTTACAGTTCTCCGTGTTAATTGCTTGATATGGGCTAGACATGTGTTCAGACGCTCACTAGATTCCCCAGCACTAAAAGTGACTTTAATAATAGCAAAAGGCCACAAGAAAGACCGAAGATCTCGTTAATTGGATGTGTTGAAAAATACTCTAGAGTCCTTAATATCCCAAATCGTTAGAACATTTCTAAGGATAGAGCTGTCCTCAGACGATCTCTAAGCACGGCAATGGGCTCACGTGCGCACCAGCCAAGGTAGTAAGTAAGTACTAAGAGGAGATAAAAATCAAGAAGCGACAACTTTATGATTTTAAACAAGAAGGCGATAATTCACTCATATTTTATCCAGCTTGAGCTGACAAATTCCCAGAAATTCATTAAAAATTCCAGCTCAATTCTGTCAGCTAAACTTTCAATTCATCGGTTTATACCTTCAAAAATAATTCTTTCATAATTCCAACAATAAAATATGAAAATTATAATTCATTTTATCATCATTTCATTACCTCTGGCCTTACTTAATATTCATCCCTTGTTCATTTAAAGCGGAATATATCTACAGTATAAAAATAACATTTCGTGTATGATATTTATTTATCGAGGGAATAAAGTATTAAATTATTTTCATTTTTTTCTTTTATTTCAAATTCTATATTTTTTATTCGAGTTACTACCTATGCCTTTATATGTGTTATATCACTCCTGTATATATTTTTTTTGTGAAATGTAAAGTTGGCACTAACAATTCAACGTATGCGCAATTTAAATAACATTAAAATAAACGTGCGGTCGTTTCAGCTTCGAACTCCTTTTCTCTGTTTTTGTTTTTTTGGAAAAAAAAATGCATGCATGACTGATAAATTACGTTTGATAAGCAGAAATAAAAAAATATAACAAGGAATAAAAGAAAGTCATATAATTTGAATGATTTAGGGGCTTTTTGACGCATAGAATTGTGGTGTTCTATCTGTTTGGAATAGTTTTGGATCTTTATGACTTTGGTTTTTACTAAGTTCAAACTTTTATCGCTTTAATAAACATTTTATAAAAATCACTCGCTAAAAATTGATTTTACTTTAATATCGTGACTTAAATTTAATATAATAATATTTAAAAAATTGTTTTTTATTCTCCAAACTTCACAATTTCTATTCACGACTTTGACTTTGAGCTTGCCAATTTATAAAAAAAACATCATTAGTATAAAAGTAGAACTGTTTTAAATAAGATTGAAGTTTTTTAAGTGAATTTAAGCTCGTCTTCAACATGAAACTCTTGATCGTTCTCATCATCTACAGCACATCAGCTTTTGCTGGTCCTTTGTCTCCAAATGAAGCAAACTTTGTCAAATCAGTGTGGGATCATGTCAGACACAATGAAACTGACATGTTCTGTTCAATTTTAAATCAATTTCCAGATATCCAAGCTAAATTTCCTCAATTTGAAGGAAAGGATCTAAACAGCATCAGAAACACAACTGAATTTATTACACAAGCTGTAAGAACCTTTACGTTCTTCTCGAATATTATCGATCTCTCTGATAATCCAGTAAATATTCCTACAATTACTATTCTTCTTAAAAATTTGGGAGTCAGCCATAGAAGATATGGAGTTACAACAGCACAAATGAATGAGTTTAATTATGGAATTGTTTCATATTTAAATGTCAGTTTCAATACTAATCCTAATAATTCATGGAATGATGTTGTCGCAGCTGCTTGGACTAATGCTCTTGATAATATTTTTGGTTCTGTTTTTCAAAATCTTTAAACAACTTTAACCCATAACCCGAATAACACGAGTCGGTTAATCGAATAAAAATCCGGAGCCTACCCGACATGAATCAAGAATGGTGTGTGATTTAAATCCAGGACCATGCCAGAGTCACACCAGCTTAGTGCCGGATTTCTGTTTGATTAACCGACTTGTGCCATTCGGGTAAGCCAATAAAGTGAATAAATTGTCAAACTGTCATTAAACCTTACACGATTATATTAAATATTGCTTACTAAAAGTATAAAAAATTGCTTTAAATGCAGTTTTCATATTTCCTATAAAATAAAAATCTAAATCCAAATATTCATTCGTGGTTTTTTTAGAAATACAAATTATATGTTATAGGAGATTTGACACACCTGTCCTGCTATTTTTATTGCTTTCTATACACACATTTTCTTGCCTGACTAGAATTTTTTTGTCATGTTCAACATTCTTTTTTGCACTCGCAACAGCCAACATTAAAAAAATGTTCATTCATCGGAAAGGAATGCGGTATGGATTGAAAGGTACAGTATTTTTTGAAGGGGGCATGGATTTTGCTGAGTAACCAAAAACACTTTAAATACAGGCTTTAAATTTATTTTGTATCCAAAATAATATTTTTCTTTTCTTGTGGAAATGGAAATGAAAAAAAATTTGAAAGTCAAATTTCTGAAGATGAAAGGAAATTCACATAAAATTTATAGACCGTGCTAAAAAGAAGTCATATCTCGAAGATAAAAGTTGATAAGAAGTACTTGAGCTTGGTTCTTTGGAAATTTTGTTTCGTCTTCAAACGATACTTACTTTGTATGATAAGGTTTGAGTTTTGTTATGAAATTCGATCGCAAAACTGCCATGAAGGCGACAAATGTGCTTCGTATTGTTGAATTTTTTGAGACTGTAAGGCAGAGATGAGTTGAATGTGGGAAATTAAATAAGCATCAAGCTGAAAAACTTGAAATTTCGATGTTGGATCATGTTAAATGTGCCAAAAACATTTATGCTGCTTACAAAATCATCCTCAAAATTCCAATCATTTCACACATTCATGTCTAATTCCTCCTTTAGCTTATGCAACCTACAAAATGATGTTACATCCGCACAAGCTGTTCCAACATATATCCATGTTATTTTAATTCATCAAAAATGTGAGTTCAACTGAGCATCAACATTATTTTCATTGTAATTAACTTAATTTCAAGCATTTTCGGCTGTTCCTTTGTGAAAGTATTTCACATCAAAAAAAAAGTTCAGGTCACTGAAAATTATTCAACCCTTAAATTATTTATTTACATAGTCCCAACATTATGTTGAAGATGTGTAATGTGTCAGAAAATTTGTTTGAGCATCAAAAAAAAACGTAACTTTAATTAAAACATACAACATATACGTTGATTCCACATATATAGTAATAGCAGCAATAACAATGTTTTGGCAGCTTGTGACAACATCTGCCGTGACTTTAATAGTGTCACGAAATAAAGTAAGTCATTTATTTATTTACAAGACACATATTCTTTAAATTTCTGTAAAATGTTCATACACTAAGGCAACCTGGATTCTCTTGTGGGTATAAAGAAGTTGATAATATTTACATAAATTTTCTTTTGTGGTTGGCAAGAAAGGATGAATAATGGGGATGTATTAGGAAGTGGTAAAATCTACAGAAACATTGAATTTTGAGTATTTGAATTGTTTCCATTTTTAATGAGGGTGTATGTATGAGTAATTATTGAGTCTACATGTCCCAAAAGAATCTACACTAAAACTCATCAGAATTTCCACTAAGGGCATGTTCAGGGGATCAAACTCTTCATATTAATAGATTTTTGTATAATGTGCTTTATTAAGAACTGAGCCTTATCCAAAAATTAATTGGGGATGTTAGGATTCTTTTAAATACAAATTGTCATCATGTAAATAGTCTCGATCATTTAAGATCTTGGTTATGTCAATTAATATCAAAACTTAAGAAACCCCTTCATTTTTCAGTCACATCAAGCTCAAAACCTTACAAAAAACTCTTAAACTCAGCACCCCCAGAATTTCCATATCCCTAAAATAGATACAAACTTCCAAAGACTAGGAAGTAAATTCTAAAGAAAAGAACTTTCAATGTTGAATGATTTTACAAAATAAACTTTTTTTTATCAAAAAAATAAACGTTTTCTTCTTTCTCATTCATTTACATATAAAATACAAAAGCTTATGATATCAATAACTTTTTTCCCATTCTTTTGTTATAGCAAAATATCATAATACAAAAGAGAATTGCTTACATGTCATGACATGAAACATTTTACTTGTCTGTGCTTTTTAGTTTTTCAGTGATTCGATCTAGTGATTTTTTTATTTTGTAAAGTCAAGAGATGGAAAATTTTGAGTGATTTTATCGGAAATCTAGGAATGAATTTGAATTATTCGACTTGTTCCTAACTTACTGCTTTTTAGGAGACATTGCTGGATTCTCAGGACACACTTATCCTTACTCTAATCGAACCGAATGATGCTAAAGATCTGCAATAATATTATGCTTCGGAATCTCAAATTTAGGTATACAAGATTAGTTCAAATCTCAGATTAACCTTTTGATAGAATTTAAAGTCAGTCGATTTGAGTCGATTTGGATCTGGAGAATGGCTAGGAATAAAAATGTCTTAAAAATTAAATCAAGATATCCAAAACTATTACTAAAACTTACATATAGTCAAAAAAATCTTACAAACTTTACTAAATGTTTCCACCCCCATCCCATCCCACTCGATCTATAAAACATCATCCACTGCATGTCATTCTCTCATGTAAAATCTCAAGAAGCAACGATACAATTCATATAAAAATATATTTTATTTATGAACTCATGAAGTAGCAAAGAACTTCCTCGACAATGAAAATAAATATTGATCGTGTGACATAACAATGCAGTAAGAAAGTTTCATTGCTCTCAAAGGGAATGGCAAAAAGTGTAAATGATTTAATATTTTAAACCAAAAAAAAAAACATTTCTGATTCATTCACTTTTCAATAATGTGTAAAAGTTTTTCTTTGTATTTTCCAGAAATTTTCTCTTTATCTTAAGTTGTGGAAAATTTTTATTGCGAAGCATAAATTTTCAATTTATACGAATTGCGCAGAATGTATAGTAAAAAGTTTTTTTTGCTGTTCATTATAATGGAATAGTTATTCTGGTTGTAATTTGAGTTTGTGAAGTTTATTTTAATATATTAAATTGGAATAATGAATGTGATCTTGTTGGGGGTGTGTAATTGGATTTGTTAGATATTATTGAATTGCTGTTTCAAGACTTTTGTGGATTATGGAGTGAGATTGTATTAAAAGTTGATATTTAATAGAATTTTGACTTAACCCGACTTCTTATGTACGATTTGACGTTAGATGCAGGGGCGTAGCCAGGCCCCTACGAAAATCTGATAATTGTTTTATTAAGTATTTATAGAGAAGAACCAGTTAATGTAGAGGAAGTGATGAAAGAAATGTCAAAATCAGCACGAAAAATTAAATCTATTGAATGAATAATGAATTAAATATTTAAACTTATGAAGAATGAATATAGATTTAAGGATACAAAATAAGGGTTTTTCAATTTTCGAAAATGGGCCCCCCTTAAAAATTTTCTGGCTACGCCCCTGGTTAGATGAGTTAAAATCCCACTCAAATGTGAAGCATTGAAAGGAGTGGATATATATCAAAGCCTCAAATAGTACATAAGCTAAATTAAAGATCCTGGAACTCAATCCTAAGTATCTCATCTTAAAGAACGCCAAAAAGGTTGTAAAACGAATCAAAAATGACCAATATGATCAAATTCTTGACTCTAATTTAAGAAACAATCAAAATCAGTTTTTTTTTCACGAACAAAGCATAAGGAAGTGATTTAGCTTCACCTGTATCTTCCCCAACCCAAAACTATATTTCATCTCCTTCAAATTCAATAAAAAAAGAACATTGGCAGACATTAAATGAATCAATAACAATAATAACTTTCCAATAATGCAACTAGTAAGACTCATCGGTGCCAAATAATTGTTGAACATCTACAAATTCATAATCTTAATTCAAAGTACTTCAAACAATATTTATACACAAAAAATAATAATCTTTATTAAACTTCATCTCAGCAAAAATGTAATTCAATTAAATTAAAATTCATCTTATTGTTCATCCAGTCAGGAGAGTCCAAGGCTTGTTGAAATGTAATTACTTATCATATAGTGTAGAGTAAGCAAGAAAAACAGTATTCCTTATAAAAACTAAAAACTTTGCCAAGCAATTTTTTGTTCCTTAGTCTATAAACTTTTTTTAAACTATTACAACTGTTGAAAACTATAATTTTTTTGTTCCTTGTTTGTCATTTCTTAACAAACAGCAGAGCAAGCTTTTGCCAACAGCAGCAGAACGAATGGAAAGTTCAGAAAGCTTACTCGTACTTCTTTCCATTAACAATGACATTTTTATCTTTTATCGTTTCCTCGTTGTTGTTTGCTAAAAGTTTCTCCTTATGCTTCTCCTTCTGTCGCTGTTTGTGATCGTCGATGTAGGCGTTTACGTAGAAACGTCCGAAGAGGACCTAAAAATTGATTAGACATAAACACAAAGGATTAAATTTCTGTGTAAATAAATAAATAGAAATTGATGTGAATCAGGAGCATGTAGTGCATTGGAACAGTAATTGCAGCATGAAATTTAAGTCAATAATAATTTTTTGGGTTCATTCGTAAGTGATGTTGATAGACAAGTTAGTCTCTTATGGTTTTATGTGAAAAAAAACGATTATAGACCTCCAGACTCATCATCAAACATTTTCCAAACCTTGACATCATTTATAAACTTTACCTAAAATTTTCTATTTTTTCTTTCAAAAAATTCATCGATTTTTTGTTCTTCTAATAAAAAACATAGAGTCTCGTTTCGTTGGAGACATGTTTTTAAAGAATCATAAGTTAATAAGAAAAATATGTCAAGAAATGAATGAACAATGACGATACTAAGGAGTAAAATAAGGTCGTAGAGGAAGAGGAAGAAGAAGCATGTCAAGTTGTATTGAATAAAAATTGTTTTTCATTCACATAATGGTTTTTAAATTGACTATACTAAGAGTAAGAGATTCATTGGGGTTTGAGCTTTAATTTGTATCTTATATATTTGATTAAATATTATAGCTTTACTATTTAACTGTTGAGCTTTTGTGAGAAAAATCACAAGTCAAACTTAGTCAATCCTAATTGAATCTAGTCAAATATTGTCGAATCTGATGAAAAATGACGAAACCTAGTCAAAACTAGTCAAACTCAATCAAACTTATTTAAAACCGAGGCAAACTTAGTCAAACTTAGTCGAACTTAGTCGAACTTGGTTGAACTTGGTCGAACTTAGTCGAACTTAGTCGAACTTAGTCAAACTTAATCAAACTTTTTCTAAAAGACTAAATCGAATTAAACCATTTTCAAAGAACGAAAAAAAATTTGATTTTCTTCAGACAGAAATCAACATACTTCTCCATTCAGTCCTCAATGAATGCAAAAATAATGAATGAAATCCATTAACTTTTCCATTTTACTACACAAATTCTACAAATCTAGGTCAACTTAATCATTTAAAATTAAAATTCTACAAATTTCAAATCAGTTCCATCAAGAAAATTCTAAAATCAGAACATATCAGATTAACAAAAATCGACAGATTCTATTTCCAACTCAACAGCTACAAGTTAAAAAAAGGTATCCGTGAAAATCATTCAATATCCCACAGACTCATTGCAAGTCATGCCAAATATATAGCATCTAAAATTCATTTATTTTTAAAATTGGATGAATTTAGAGCAGAAATAGAATTAGCAGAAGTGATACGATGAAAAATGTAGGGCAAATATTCTGAGTTCTGATTGATTCTGTGGATGTGATCGAAATAGATTTGGAAAAAAGTGCATCTGGAAATATTATTGCAGAGGATTGTTAATTGACAGTGGGAGATGTTCGGCTGTTATGTCTAATATAATGGAGGGAGAGTGTCTGAAGCTTTGCCAAGCACAACATCTGATTTGGATAACTTTAGTTAAGGATAAGCATCAAGCTGGAGCAAGGTAAAGCCCTTCAAACTTTTAATCTACCAAATTACATCACTTACAAACGCCCTCAATATTAAAACCTTATCACGTCCAGAATAACAGAAAACTTTCAGTTGCCACAAATAAAATTGCAATATTAAAAAATAAATGCTCAAAAAATCTAAACAGAAACCAATAAAAAATTGATTTAAGGAGGTGAGAAAGCACTTACCAAGAACGAAACCATATATCCGCAGAGAGTGTATTGCATCCATAATGGAAACTCGCAATCAATACGAAGTCCATTGAATCCAAGAATGAGAGCACCAGAAAATTGTATCTGAATAAATAACAAAATAAGGCATCAAATGTGAATCGATAAATCTACAAAAAGAAAATTTCCTCGACTTACCAATTGAATAATTGTCAAATATCTTTTCCACCATAAATATTTGTTCATTTGTGGTCCGATAGCAGCCAAGCCATAGTATGTGTACATCAACACGTGAATAAATGAATTAACAATTGCGGGATAAGCGGCTGTAAAAAATTGTGATGGGAAAAAATTTTTATTTTAGATTTATGTAAAATTTATGGAATGGATTATCATTCGATTTTGGTCAATTTAAAATGTGCACTTTCATGAAAGTAAATTGCTTTTAATTTTAAATGCGCATAAATGCAAATTTATGTGTGAGAATTTTTCGGAAATATTTAAATTTGTTAGCATTTAAGTTAATAGGATTTATTTTATACAAATAAATTCGGATGTGATTGTTGGAGCTGGTAAATTGATTTCATTGATTTGAAGCTTTTAACATTCAATTTTGATGAATAAAGGCTTCGAAAAAGTAATTTTAAGCTCAAATATTATTCATAAAACCCCATAAATCAGTCTGTCCTACTTCTTTCATGCAATATCCAATAAATACTCACTCGAACCACTTGGCACCCATTTGATTCCAATCCACCAAAAGGCAAACATCGTTGAGTGATGATAAATGTGCAAAAATGACAATTGATTGTCTTTTTTACGAAGGATGAAGAATAATGTGTCGCTGAATTCCAATAATTTTGAGAAATAATACCACCATACTGCATCGACGATCTAAAATAGTGAAAAAATGATGGAATAAAAATTTCATATAAATTTTATGGTATTGAAAAAATGACACGGAGCTTAGATTCAATTATTGTGAAGGTAGGAATAGCAATAAAGACATACAATTGCATTGATTGATTGAGATATCGGTCACTGATAGGATTCAAAACTTGACTGGAAACCACAAAAGCTTGACTCATGTTTTAACAAATTTGATGAAGTTGCTAATATTTAACTTCGTTATTAATAAGGATGTGACCTAAGATATATTTTTAAATAAAGCAAATAAGGACAAATTAGAAACCACACGCAATTCAATTCACAACTTAAACTCAATCCTTCTCAACTCCAATCCAACTTATCAATTCCATCCAACAAATTCATTTTCACAAGCTTTTAATTAAAATCTCTTTATTAAGTTCATATCCTTGACGGTGAAAAATGAGTATCTCAAGTAAGATCAAGAAGTCAATAATAGCATGCAAATTGATAAGACTTCTATTTACACAGCATCATCAATATTCAATAGGAATACAAATTTGCAAAAAGAAGACATTCGAATAGCTTTACATGAGCTCATGCTGGCATTGAACTTTGTATCAAGAGGATTCTTTCCTTAGCTTTTCATCCCACATTTTAAGCTTAATCATTAACTACTAATTCTCAATTACCTGCATCTCATCCGGCGTCCACACTTGCCTGCAAGGTTCACAGAATATACTGTAATTCAGTCTAAGTGAAGCTGTTAATAATTGCCAGAATATATAGAAATTGAGCGCAGCCATGGCGAGATTGTACACAACAAGTAAATTGTTAAGTTTGAATGGCTTTCGACTGTAAAAAAAATAATTTAAATAAAGTGATAAAAATGCATCAATAATAAATTAGAGATTAAGTATTCAGTGCGTAAAAGTTTGCATTCATGAACCACACGACACTGAAAAGGAACTAGAGAATAATGAATTATCATCTTTTAATGACATGAGGATGACCTCCAAAAATCTCTATTTTCTAATGAATTGTTGAAAGTTTTTAATGACGAAACTCTGAATATGCAGTTTCTAATCATCATAACTTTACATTGAATTAATCTCGTAGTTTTAAAGTTTTGTGAATGTAAGGGAAAAACCGCAGTTAAAGTTTGTTTGATTTAATTATACAGAGTTAGAGAAAATTAATTAGGATGTAAAGTACGGGCGTCAGGGAAGCTAATTACGTTAGAGTATATGAAGAAAATTTGCATGAGAAAGACATTGAAGTGTTTCCATGGGATTCAATGAAAATTGCTTGTGTAGTTGAGATATGCTCATACAGAAGTATGAGTTTAATAACTTCATTCTAGAGAGGATAAAGTTTTGAAGAGGGAGTAAGCAGAAGATGGATTCGATGATCCCAACAAACTTAAAGAATGCTAAATTTGAGTAGATTCCCTGGCAAAACCTTTCTTTACTAAAGAAGATTAACTGATTTGTGTCTACTTTGCAGACTTTCAAGTTGGTCTCCCATTATCATTTCCATCTCGGATTGCTACATCTCACTATAAAAACCTCAAAACAGCTCAATCTTCTCACAATTTAAAGGTTAAAATACAAAATCCTCGACTAATTTCCCTTAAGATTTAATCAATATTCTCGTCAACTCAATTTAAACGCTTTTAATTCATCCCAAGAGAAAATTAGCTCCACAAATGCCTTTATCATTATCAATTCATGTTTCTCACGCTTAATGTGTCTCTTGTGATCATAAAAAAATATAAATAAGCTATTAATTTTCATCATTTTTTGTGACTTCACCTTGATGCGTTTCCAACAAAAGAATTTATAGCCACAAACTAGCGGAAACGAGATATGTTTATGAAGAAGATTACGAAAATTTTTATGAAAATTAGTAAAGATGCAACACAATGGCATGTTACAGCACAAGATGGAGAAACAGAAAGTGCATTTAACGGTCCAGCTGTTGCATTGGAATGCATCACACATTCATTCAAGTGTCTCAAGGTTAACATTCATCAATATACTTACTTTCTCATGATTTTTGGTCCCAAATAAACGCTTGTGAGGTAAATGATAATACCGCATAAAGTGGGCCATGGTGTCTCGACTAGAAGCCATCCTTTGGATCGAGGATCGGTGAGTGTGAGTGTCCAATTGTAATAATCTTGAACTCTTTTTATTAAATCCATTATTTTGTTTTAATATTTAAGTAAGTTTAAAGCTGATAAGGTCAATTTGTCACGCAATTCCTTTTATTGCTGATGTTGCCTATGCGTGGTTATACGAAGGAAATTTTAATTTTCTCAATTATTTTGTTGGCTTTACTGTTAAAATGAAAAAATAAATAAAAAAAATTATTTTATAATGCACATTTTGATGATTTTTTTAATGTGAAAATATATTAAAGTATCATTGCAGTTTTATTTTGTTGGAAGTATTGATGATAAAGTAATAATATTAAATTGAACTTTTTTAATCAAGTCGATAATAATTGAGGAAAAAGATGAGTCTGTGATTTATTGAGCAATAATCTAAAGCTTATTGTTCACGATTTTTAATTTTTTTTAAAGTTTGGGATTATTCTTTTAAATACATTCTACTTAAAACACATGATTAACTTTTGATCTTTTGACAGGTTAGAATTGAGGAAAATAAAACTGACTGGAACCGGATTATTGAATGAAATTGAGCACTTGAAAAATTGATCGACACTAACCCTTAACAGCTTATGATTAGATGAAATCCAATAACCCGACAAAGAAATTAAATCTTTAAGCGAACCAGAAGGAGACGACAAGCAGCTCAGCGGTCCAAGTTAATAAATTACAATCGATATCATACCGCCAAAAAGTATTGATATGTAAATTTATTCATTCATAGAAATTTAAGCAAAGAGTTTTCTCATGTAAAAAGACGTTAAAAGACGATCAGGTGTCTAACATGTGTTGTCTATGAAAATGACTCAGTCATGTAAGATAAATAAAAGATCATAAAAATTGATGGCTTCGATGTAATTTATTATTCACATATGTAAGAATCTTTTAATTCTAAAGAAAAGATAACAAAACCAGCAAGTCACTTTGATATTTAGTTTATAAGCCCTTATTTTTAATTAATTATGCGAAATAATTTCAATATTTGTTAAAATCACAATGATTAGCAAATTTTTCCCTTCATCACTGTTTTGTAAGCTTTCGGAAAATCATTATGATTGGTCATTTCCAATGGAGCTTCCTTGAATTTTAATGGATTTTCAACAAGCATAGCAACAAAAATGAATTCATCATTTAAATATGCATAAAGCACAGCATTTTTGATTAGCGTAGGTTATGGAATTACGAACATCTGAAATGTCTATGATGAAATGAACCAAAGCGTTTCGTAGGGCAACAAAAAATACTTTTTTGAAGATCCGTTTCGAAGATATCTCTGCGTCTAAGTTCATTTTGTTCAAGGTTACATTGACATTTACCTTAAGGTTCTTAGAAGTTTTGAATAAAATGGTCATAATTTCTTATTTTAATTCAAGAACTTCGTATCTTTTATGATATCTTCAATGTTAATTTGCCTGTTTGTGTTATTTTGGCATAGCTATGGAGATTACAGTAACAACACATTAAACTCTTTTATTTTCAATAAATCCTTAATCTTTTCTGTCATTCCGACTTGAAATTATGAACAATGCAATCAAAATATTATTAAAGTCCTAGACAACATCTATACCACACACACAGACAGTTTAAGTTACATGGGATACTCGAAATTGCATCTGAGATACTCTCAACCGGTTCTTTACGATTATAAAAGTTATGAAATCCACGAATTGACTTTCGAAATGACAACAACAATGAGGAGAAGAAATTAAGAAAAGTTTTACTTTTCAAGGTCTTTGGGGGTTGATTTTAAATGATGTGAATTGATAATTATTTGAATTTTGTATGAATTCTAGTCAATAAAACTAGCAAAGTCTAGTCAAGTTTAAGTTCTTAAAACATCTGCTTTATTTTTTTTGAAGTTGTAAGTAAATTCTCCCAACTGGATCCAATCTTTTTGATTCTGATAAAATTAATTAATATTCAGTATTCATAATCTGATTTCATAGGCGATAGTATTGACCAGGTGGTTTCATAAAAATAAAATCAGCCCTTAGCAACTATTAAAAATTAAGTTTATGGTATAAAAGAGACCAAAATTTATGATTCAGTTCAAATGGAAATCAAACTTCTTTATGTTAAAAAATTTCTGGTAGCTCATCAACTCCAAAATTCATAATTTTTTCACTCATAGAGACACCTTCATGTGCTATTTCAAATATTTGAAGCATCAATATTGTTCAAGACGTGTTTGATTATTCAAATAGAATCTTATTGACTTATAATTCATTTGGATCACTTTAAAAAATTTATATTCTTAATCGGCAAACAGTCTTTGTCTCATTTTGGATAAGATTTAACAAAAAATATTGTCAGACGTGCCTAGAAATTGAAATCAAATTGATCTCAATTCCCTAATAAATGATCCATCCATTATTCATAATCAAATCCACAACGATTATCATATTAAGTGTGTCATAGCATCGTTGCCCATAAAGCTTCCGAAAAGGAAAAATCTATGTCGAGTTCCAATGCCACTAGACAGATAAAAAATGTTGAGTGTTATGAAATTTTATGAATCTATATTATGCTAATGTCTACAACATGCATAAATTTCCACTGAACCAGAAACACATACTCGCCATTGACAGAGATGATGCGACGATGTAGCGCTATTTAATTTTATTATGTCACCCATCTTAGTTGATAGATTTGATTGTTTGTGTTTTATAAAAAATCATATGATGGGCCTTTTGTGCGAAAATAACCAAAATGGGATAGGACAAAGATGTAAAAACTTTTTAACTTATTGTAAGTCTTTAAAATAGCTGGAATTTCACAACTGTGGCAAATGACGCATGATACAATGAATAATGAATTGATTTTAGATGTTTTATATGTTTAAGTTTGTCAGACATTTGTCTCAGTGAGTGCGAAATTAATGGAATTGAATTTTTTTGACTAAGTTTTGAATGGAATGTAAAGAGAAATTTTTGAAAGTTGCAAAATTGTCGATTGTTTTTACATAACTGAGATTAAAGGATGATTTGTTGAGGTTTTGACTTGATCATAGTTCCTCAAGTTTCTATCAAGCTTGAATTGTCAAAAATGAAGCGAAATCAATTAATTTTAAATCATATCGTTGTCTCTGAGCTGAGTTAAGCTATTCTTTCTGAGCTAGGTGAAATACTTACTCAAAAAACTCCAAAAACACTTAGCTTTTAGCTTTGGACTTTATTGTATGATTCTGAGGCTAAAATTGAGCTTTAATCTTCATGATTTTTAAAAATTCTGACTAAATTCAATTTTTAAATCATATCAACTGCTTGCCTATAGACGCTGGAAACTTATTATAGAGCTATAGACCCCAAAGCGTAATACATAACACGCATCTTTATTAGCATTCAAAATTCATTGCAAAAATTCCATTGTTAACAACAATTAAGGCACATAAATGTATAATTTATGGCACTACATGGAAGCTTCAATCCACAAAAAAATTACTTTCGCTTCTTTGTTTTCAGTTCTAGTAAGTTTTTCGCTTTTGTGCCATAATTTCAAATTTTAATTGCAGATAAAGCACCGGCTGTAACAGTGAATAAAATAACAGACATAAAGTCACTGATGATAAAAAATGTCATTCAAAAATTTCTTAAATACTTCTTCACTCAAATGACAATGGAAAGCATAACACTGAATTTATAATCGCGGCTGCATAAACTAAATATTATGTCGCATAAATTATGTAAGTCTATAATCAAGAAGAAGAAAACTTTTGGAATGATGAACTGAATTAATTTCCAAACAAATAAAACTGCACTGAATTTAAGTCTGATCGGGCTATGATTGAATACCAATGTTCACATGGCAGCTATTCTACAAACTGAGAAGCTACTTAATACCTTCAAAAACTAAATCCGTGTTTGCAAACTTCTTGAGATAGTTTTATCATTGAAATATAGATATAGCTACCATGTGGACAATGTGCTGGATGCTTTCGCCTTTAAGATTCACCTGGTTATGATTTTTTGGTCACTTTTAGTCACAATATCTGGCTTTTTGTCACACGATCATTTTATTACTATCCAATTGTCTTTTATGAATACAGTTTTTTGAAGAAACAAATTTTGTTGATTAAATCCAGAAGGTTTCAGGTTCTGTCACTAATTTGGATATTTTTTAGGATGTGTGCCCCAATAGAGTTTTACAACCTGCAGCAATTTATTAAAAACCTGTAAGTTCTTCCTTAAATATCTCTTAACTTCCACTAAACAAAAAAATCACTGCAATTATATCTTAAGCAGCTCCTATCATCGCGACGATCACTTTACAACTAAACTTATTAACCGATTCTGAATTTATGTCCTTAATATTCACAATTTTCTTTTTTATCCACCGCAAGTGTTAACACAACGATCGCTGATGATCGACTGAAAATATTTTCTTTACACAACCTGAAGCTGCTGTTGCTGCTTCTGATGAAAACAAAAGTAAATTGCAAGTCGCGCGACAACTTTTTTTTTTTACTTCCAAAAATATAAAATACTACAAGACAGAGACGAAGAAATTAGCAACAGCATAAAATTTCGAAGGTTGAAGATGTTGTATAAAGGGTCTGAGTCGTAGTAAGTTTTAAAAATAATGGGAGATAAAAAGGCCAACCTCAACGAGAAATTCTCTGAGGCAACTTTTTCCTTTTCAGAATCCATGTTTTGCTTAATGGCTGTGTGTGTACTCGTGCATTGTATGATAAGGTCATTTATTGATGATAAATTTACTTGAGAAATTGAGTTATAGGTTAAGTTTATTAATTATGAGATGTAAATTGAGCAGTGAGTTTATAAAGGTGGATGAAATCTGTGAGGAGCTTTAACTGTCTGGTTTGCTAATTACTTGAGTTCTTTTATATAAATTTAGTATCTTTTTGATACTTTGATAGTCTTTATGGTTGACCATGATCTTTAGGTTAATCTAGTTTATAAGTCTAGGATACTTTTTGATTCCTTGAAGTTTCCCTTTAATTCCGTCTCCTTTAAATAGACTTTTCTAGTAAAAAAATCAAAGCGCTGACCAGTCCCGACCAGTTCTGACTCTGTGGCCATGAATATGCATGTTTGTAAATATGAAAATTTAAGGAGAACTTTCCACAAGTCATCAATTTAGTCAGAAAATCAGATTCTTTGAATTAAGCATTTTGGGATTATATAATGCACCATTAAGAAGCAATCAGGATTATTTTGAAGCAATTTTGCTCTACAATTAAGATTAGCATTAAAATAGCATAAAGATTAAGTCGATGTCTGAATGTTGAATTTTAAAAGCTACGAATAAGTCTTGTCAGCATCTTTTTAAATGCTTTTTTGAAATTCCTTTAAAAATTTTGAAGTCCTCCAAGCTATCCGAAAAACTTTAATTATTTTATTATCGATTGTTCATATTAAGTTTACTCTCAGCTTACTCAATCCTACCTCAGTCTTCGAGTCCACAAAAATAAACAAAAAGCATGTCTCTTAATTTAAGTCGAAATAATCTGCAATCAGTGAATTTGAGTCTTTCACATTTTGAAAGTATGACATTGAAATACTTTTTTCTCGCTGCGCACTAACAAACGTTACGAAAGACATGCATATAAGTGCATATTGGGCTAGGTCCAATCGAAAATATTGAAAATGAGAGTGGATGCAGTCTTTAAACAGGGCAAGGAAATGTGTTGAATTCGAAAACTTTAATGCAGACCGGTTTTTTGTGAATTAATGCATGATGAGCTTGTGTAAATTCTTTTGTGATGATGATCAAAAGTTTTACAATTTTCGAGGCAAAAAAAAGCTCAAACTAATAAAACAATTTCTATTAAATGAGATCATAAAATGCTCATACATCACAAAAAATTTCCTAACATTTTCCATCTATCATCACAAAATAAATAAAAAACTTTTTAACAGAGAAAAAGTTGTCATCGTGATGATATTCATGGACTAGCCACTATGTTATCTCTCGTATATGAGAAGTTTGTCATGATATGATGTTTGGTAAGGAGGAAAATTGGTTACAAATGGAAAATGTTAAGCATTTGGGATTGAGTTTTATTATGTTGGTCATCAGTTTGATATTTAATGAGTTTTTATGATTATTCCTTACTGTTTACATGAACTTGTAATTAGGGGTTGAATTTTTAAAGGTAATTTGTGCTCTGTCTGTTGTAATCTGGTGCTAAGGTTGCAACCTTTGAGTATTTTTAATTATATGATTGCCTAAGTGGGAATATCCTTACAGAAGAGACCACATAAAATTATTTAAACAATTTTGGTACCTCAGACTGCCTCAGACAGTAAGTTTAACAATAATTAAGGTAACTAGTGACTCCAGTAATTAGAAACACTAGATTTCATAACAAAGAACGCTTAATAAGAGTACAAGAGCCACCAGATAATAATCATCAACCTATGTGCCAAACGGCACTAATATAACTCTCAATATATTCTAAAGTCCACGAATCGATGCCTATGTGTCTCATCTCCACCACAAATTTCCCTCCTTTAAAAAAACTCTCTTTATAAACTTAATTTTCTGCATTGCAATGCCTTTTAGTTTGTCTGAGTTCAGACGATGTCCTCCATCAACATTTTACTTGACAGAATATCCACAAAATAAAGCGATGATGATGATAATGATGATAATTGCGTAACAAGTTGCTTCATCATTCGATGAGATGGAGGAAAAAAAATGAAATTTTAAGAGAATGAGAGTTACTGCTATTGTCACTGCCATGATAAACTTTAGTAGACTACAATAAATGAATGAGCGTGGAATGTCTACGTGATACCTTACATTTTTTTTGAGAAGCTTAAAGGAAAATGATGTTAATGAAGTTGAATAAAGTTCGACATTTTTTAATTTTTATTTTTATCACTGACAATTTATGATGAAAAAACTGCAAGTGTAATGTTGATAAATTAATTATGATGCAAAATGGTATTAAAGATGAGGAATTGCAATTGCTTGAATTAATTTGATCAATTATTTATTTCTGGCGTTTTGACTTTTTGCATGATTAATGCAATTTCATTTGGAAGATGATGAAAATGGATGAATTAATGTGCTCGTATTTATTATTTTATTTGTAATGAATAAAGGTAAGGAATTCAAGCTAAAGATTCATCTTACATGAACAAAATGATTCTTCAGATGTCAAAGGGTTCGAATTCTAACCACCCATCTTGACTTCAACCTTAAAAAGTAGACTAGAGCTTAAAAAACCCTTCAGAGCTAACAATATTTTAAAAAAGACATGTACTAAATATAAGCATGGGTATCCTTAGTAAAATTCTATAAACAATTGGCTCATCAAGCTTCAATATTAATTTAATCAACCGAAAAAAAAAAGTATTTTCCTCATAAAAACCTAATGAAAAAATTTTCCCAATAATCATAAAAAATGTTTGTTCAACCAGCTTTAACTAGTTCCAACAATTTTTTTTTTCACAACCAAACATGATAAACTTTTTAAATAACCATAATATATTAACAAAAAGTCTCTCAATGCCTCAATGAAGGCTTACAATCTCCAATAAATGAAAAACTTTACAACATTTTTCCATCAACCCTCATTTTTTTCAGCACCACACAGTCGCATCATTATTAATTAACTGACAAAGGAGTGAACTTCATGTACGCAAATTAATAGCACCATCCACTCGTTTGACATATTTTCTCACGTTCAATTGGAGTGATTTTTCATAGCTCCAATGAGGAACAAAAAATCTGATGATAAAGCACAGAAGCCTCAATGAAAAGTTCCCATAAATGAAGAAGCAAATGAAAATCAATAAAGTTATATGAAGCATTTATTTTTGGAATAATACAGCATGTCGACAGATATCTCATCTATTGCCTACATGTCATCATGTACACATTCAGGATTTTGCCAAATTTCATGTCACAAATCAATTTTGATGCCTCCATGAATTATATCAGCAGAAGAATAAGTCAATCCTTAAAGTCTGCCTGCCAATTCCCATCCGAATCATTTTGTGCTCGATGAGCAGCTGCTGCCAAAATTCACGACTGAAAGAAAAAAATCTTTAAAGTTGAATAATTTTCCATTGCAATTTAAGAGCAACAACATTGTAGAGTCGTCAGTTGAATGAAAAGAATGCTGTTGTGCAATGCTCGACCTTGAAAAGCATTTATTGATTTTACTTGGCTGTGCTGTGTCGCTTTTGGATATATTTTTTTTCGGCACATAACGAAGAAATGAGAATAATTTTTTTGTGGATTTAAAATATTTTTATGAACAACTAATTTGCAATTTCTTTTTATTGATCCTTTAAAGGAATTAAGATCATCAAAATTTCACAGTAAATAACCCAGTTTAAGTGTAATTTTCATAGCTGTAAAAGCATAGCGTAACGAACAAAATCAATAAAGTTCATGAGCTATTTAAAATATGTAGCTTGTGAATAACTTATGATAATGCAGTAAACACTTACTTTTGGCAGAGTGTTCGACCTTTTTGGTGTAGTTTGTGTAAATTTTAAAGATAGCATGTTGTGGTGAAGATATGGACGAGTACAAGGTCTGGTTATTTGAGGGTAATCTAAGATAATATTCTATTTTTAAGATTTTAATATCAAATATGTATTTGCTGAGGCTCGCTAAACAGGAAGTCAAAGTTCATACACCTTTATAATCAAGAACTCAGTCATTCAAATAGATAATAATCCTGTTCAATACAATGCCTCTATATATCATGATGAATGAGAAATCTATTTGATTTTGTATAGACAACTTTGCAAAGATTAGAATCCATTGTTTGATTTTGAGAGCATTGATAATGCACAAATGAATAAATGGAGTAGAAGTCTGGGATGCACTCATTGATTCTATTCGGAAGTTTTGATTTCTGTCTCAATAGCTCATTATTCTCAGTTGCTAAGTCATTACTCTTTAAACTGTCGAAAGCCATCGTTTTAAGCTTTAATACAGCTTATCGATCACATTATTGTCGACCAGGCCACTGATTTACTTAGTTCTGTTTTTACCCCTAACCTTGCAGATACTTCTGGTATCAATGCGAGTTTAATGATCTGGCTAATGTTCGCAAAACGCATTTTAAAGCCATTTCATCAAAATATTTTCAGACCATAAAGGAATCACAGTGACAATCTATAGCAAAATCAACTCACTAAAACCAGACATCAAAAGTAAACAGCGCATTCAGCTCGTTCTTCAAATATTTGCTTTCAAAAGCTTCAAATATTAAGCCATTCGAAAACAAGTGAACATTTCTAATGCTCATATCGACTTATGTCCAAGCTGATGCCTTAATGCATGGAGAAATGAGAGCAGCAGCACTTTAGTCACATAAGCCGATTTTCAAATGATGATAAATCAATATCATTCATCATTTTAGTCGAGTGAGCATGAGAGACGACGATGAAGAAATGAGGACTAAAGAAGAAAATGTAGAACATGCTGATGATGACGTCACCGATGAACAAATCGAAATTAAAATTTGTGCATTGCAGAAGAATGTTGAGGATGTGCATAAAAACATGCGCAGATATTTTTTTAATGTTTAAAAACTACTTCAAAATTATGTTTTTTTATTCGTGAATGTCCTTGCAGGTTGAAACATTGAAAGTGCATTTTTTTCTGTCGAGAGTGTGAGAAGGATGACGATGACAATAAAAACTGGATTGATAAGGAAAAAGGTTCGGTAATTTATTTACCCAAATGAGCAATTTATTGGTTTTCAGTGAATTGGTAATGCGTTCATAATTAATTACACCTTTTAAAACTGGATTCAATTGTGGATATGGTTTGTTGTTACATCATTGCTGGCAGTATGACGAAAAGAGACAGCAAATGTCGATTGCATAACTCACGGTGACCTTGAACTTCAAAGAGCACAGAATATTTTATTGCTACATTATGACATAAAATAAGTATAAAAGATTTGTTTTATGATTGAATAGATAAATGCTAAGGATTTTTAATTGAATTTTCTATGGGATGAGAAGGTAAAGGACGAGATTAAGATTCTGATTGCTTTATTTACTTTGTATTAAACTAAGGTTAATTACAAATGACTTCATCTTGGCTAATATCTATGATTTGACTGAAATTAAGCAGGTTCTAACTGCACAGATGCAAAGAGCTTGAAATTACATCACATAGACAACTTCACCCCTTCTCTAACCAATCCCCTAATAATCAATCACTTCATTATCCATCCACTCGTAAAAATCCTTCTCATTCTCAAAGAACTGCAATTTTATGATTTTTCAGTCAATAAAATTCACACATTATTAAATTAACACAGCAGTATACAACATTTAATGGACATCTACATAAAAAAAAATCCAAAATTCCAAAACAGGAAATTTCTTAATTTTTCCCTCAATTAACTAGAATAAATAACATTTTGACGCATTCAAGTTGAAAATTAACAGGATTTTGAATTAATTTCCCATCAATTTCATCACATCAAGGACACTCGAGTCAATTATGTCTAAGCAGCACTCGAATTGGTCGCATTACCCTTCAACTCATTGTCAACTTCGTCATCATAATTTTTAAATTGAATTAAAATCACCAAATAGGTTGTGCATGCGGAAATTATGTTATAAAATAGCGACATGTCAATCGAGAAGAAGTTGTTGGCTGTAAATTCAGTTTTTAAATGAATTGATTGAAGTGCGAACATGTCGACGAGATCTGTGATGTCGTCTTCATTAGCTTCGTAGCTGAATTTTCTAAGGTATTGTGAGCAGGTTTCGATCTGGAATGAGAAGAAGATGTTGATGTCTGAATATATTGCCGTTTAGAAGGTTGAGTCCTTAAATCATGTGAAATGAATGCTTTTTGACTCCCAAGGATGAAACCAGAGAAGTTTGAGCCTCAGAGCCATCTAAGTATAGCACATTAAGCTAGCATTTCACAATAATCTCTAAGTAAATGTCTATTTGAAGTCTGTAAACTATAAACTGCGATGTTATGTCACTAAATTAAACCATTAAATCCCACAACTCAAAAATAAACATTTTCAAAACCAAAAACCCCAAACATCCCCACAAATCCATCCAAAAAACTAATATTCAGCCTACCTCATTTCGAGTGAAATGACATGCGAGGCAACTGAATGTGATTTTCATTGCATTCGGAAAAAGCCAAACAAAATAGATGAAAACTTTGTCTTTTGATGCCTCCCATCCATCATAGAAGGTTAAATAGAACATCATGAATATCAGCGACGTCAGCAATATGAAGTCATGAGCGAAATTCATCACCAAGGAGAAGCCAAAAATTTGATTCAAGTCACCAACACTCGTGCACAAAAGTCGATATACTCGCGTGTATTTCATCACTTCCAAACATAATTTGCTTTTTGATTCAAACTTTGTTTCCAAAATTTCCGGTGGAAATCGTACGACTTCCTTTAGTTTCTGGTTGAGTTGATAAGTTCGGAGGAAAATGGCTGTTACGTAACAGATGAAGGCTAGTGTGAAAATGCCTGATATTGATGCAAGAACTAAATAATTAATGTTAAAAATAAATGATCCGAAAATCGATAAATCTTCAAATTTTAAGACAATTTTAAGAAATCCTGCAAAATAGTAAACTAGAATAGACAGGATAATAGTCAACGAGACATTCCTGAACGTTGTCGGATCCATTGAGGATCTAAATGAAGTATAAAGCAATTCATCAATTTTCTGCAATTTGTCCATAAAAGTAATCTGCGAATGTCGTGTCAGAATTGAATTGAACATGAAATAAAAGCTGCAAATCGCTGTCGATATAACCTCCACAGTAACAACCATAAACCTCGTGTGCTTTGTTCTGTCGTTGAGATCTGAACGAAATAGGCATAAAAAAAAGAGAATTTCGGTTAAACTGGGGGTTATACGAAAATTGGGTCTGTTAAAAAATTAGATTTTAAGACATTCTTCTTTGAGTTAAGGGATGTAGCCAGACGAAGGTATCTCAGGAAGTTTTGGGTTGTTTGTAAGTTTCAAAAATCAATTTAAAATTACAAAATTACCAAACAGTTCCCAAACAACTCATATCCATACCTGTTTTCAAGACATGCATGTAGTAATCGTAGCCAAAATATGAATTTAATGCCAGAATCAAACCGATGACAGCTACAGATATTACCACTTGTATCCAATCGGTCACAAACTTCCTCTGATTGTTCTCATAACGAAATGAAACCAAACGAAATACCTGCTGGCTCCGGATGATCCATTTTGTTGCATCAAACAGATGTGAATTCATTTCTGTATCTCGGTCAGAACAAGACAATTTTTTTTAAGGTCCAATAGACACAAAAATTCAAAGAAAATTAAATGAATGATTTTTAATATCCTTATTTTTATTCATGTGCTACCAATCCAATTTAATTAATTAAGTGGAACAATAACCAAAAATGGAATTCAATTAAACGGACAAAATAATCGATTAAAGTATCGTTGAAAGTATCACAATGATTGATAATTTAATTTTCGGTTTCTTTCAATGAAAAAAATGTATTTAAAGAATGTCGAAAAAAATAACGGTTATGAAAATTTTGAATTGATTTTTTTTGTGGTGAGAATTTTAAAATTCACCAAAGCTCTTGATTTTCAACAACTGACATGTGAAGTCAAACAGTTTTTTGATTTCATCAAACTCTTTGGATTTTGGATGTGATTTGTCAAAGTAGCAGTTGCTCAAGTATGTTCCTCCTTTTCCTTCTAAGTATGGGCTTATTGCTGCGTAGACAATTGTTCGGGAACCTGATTCTGGAGTCTAAATGAGAAATTTGAGATTAATCTTAAACAATAATCAAGATTAAGGTTCATACCTTATAAAAAGCATTCTTAAACCATGGAATAGCTGTGATGCTAGAGTGTTGGAATAGATCAGTATTAACAATGCCTGGATGAGGTGCATGTGATTGGATTTTTAAGCCACGTTCCTTAAAAATCACTTCCAGATATTTTGTGAAATAAACTTGTGCTAGCTTGCTCTTTGCATAGGCATCTGTCGGGTAGTAGAACTTTCTATTGATAAAATATTAAAAGATGAGAATTCAATAATCATGCACCTAAAGTATAGAGTTACTTACTTGCAATTGAAATCCTTATAATCCATATCAGCAACTCTGTGAATGCAGCTCGATACATTGACGACTCTGACGTTCTTTCCATCATTCGATTCAGATCCTTTAATTAACTCAGGCATCAAAAGATGTGTCAATAGGAAGTGTCCTAAGTAGTTGATTGCCATTTGTGACTCAAAGCCATCCTTAGTTTCGTAATATGGAGTTGCCATTACGCCGGCTTAAATGATATATTTAAACAGTTCATTGATCTCATCCAAAATTGGAATTTAAAATATTCACATTTGCAACTATTTATGTAAATTCTGATAAACTTACCGTTATTTATTAAAATGTGGATGGCTGGAAATGATTGTTTAACTTTTTCCGCAAACTGACGAACTGATTCCATATCTCCGGTATCACATTGGAAGTATGTGATGTTGTTTTTGCATAATTCTTCTCCGATTGCTGTTTCTATTGATTTTTTGGATGATTCTGGGTTTCTGACACCTGAATGGAATGTGATACAGTTAGAAATGTAATAATTAAGCTTAATGCCGATCCAAAAACTCAAACAACAAGTTTTAATCCAAATGCAGGTATTTCAAGTTGACATCTAAGGTCAACATCATAAAAATCAAGCCATTGATGCTATCTAAACCAGTAGAAATAAACTTACCCATAACAACTTTCATTTCGCATCTCAAAAGCTTCTTAACAATATGAAGACCGATTCCTGAAAAATTTTATGAGATATTTAGTAAGAGATTCTGTTTTGAGAGTTATTTTTTGATGACTTTGAAGTCACTTGACTCTTTGGCAACTTCTTAGGATATAGATGTGGCAGATCTTATTATTTTTTGTAGCTTTCGGGATTGACTCAATATATCTGTGGTGCAGCAATTGTCAAGGACATAATAATAATATGTGAAGGGCCCAGCCTTTCAGCTAGAGTCAAGGACATAAAAATCCCTCAAAATTCCAGTTCACTCACCTCTATTTCCACCAGTAATCACTGCAATTTTATTAGGTAGACTTTCAAGCTCTAAAATTCAAAAATAATCACTTGACAAATGATAAACAACTTTATATACAGTCACAAAATTCAAAGACATTTCTAAACAAAATTAAATTAATATTCATGCACAGTCTTGCATAAATTTAACCAAAAAAAAATTTTGTGTGAATATGACTTGATAATTATCATAAAAAGTTTGACTCAACTGATTCGGTTCCTCTTTCTTAACAGAAAATCTTCATTTTGTGACCTGATTCCACATAAAATAGTCCTGACTTCAATCTTAAATTCCTTCCATGATTTTGGGAACTCTTTTGTCGATCGAAAGAAGTAAAATAACAAAAATGGAATAGGTGTTAACAAGACGAAAGCAGCCGCTAACAAGTTCATCTTTAAATATAATTTTGTGTATCAAACTTTTTTTTGCAGCACCGATGTGTTTGAAGATCAAAACGAAACTGAAAGTTAACAATGAGATATTATTTTTTGTGTGACTGGTTTTGCTGGCTGAAAGATGAGAGAAACGAGAGATAAAAATTTTGGGTAAACAAAAGCAGCCAACCCAAAATAAGACAAGGCAACATTTTCTTTTGAAAACTGGAAATTTTTTAATGACAAAATTAAAAATTCCAGCATGTGAATTGGTCACGTGAATTTACAATAATAGTTTGTTGGGGATCTACTTGACTGTAATGTGATGATGACGCATGTAAGACTGATTTTCAACGATTTTTGAAGTTCATCGACATATTTAATAACTGATACGCAGTCAGGGTTTTGTGTGATGATTTGATATTGTTTTAAAGGCTCTTAATACTGCGCACAGTGTCAAAGGCGCATTTTACGTTGGGCTGATTTAATTTTTTTCTCACAAATTTAACTTTTTGTCGAGTAACCCCGTCTAAACCAGTAACTTTATGTCCCTCAACATTTTCTTCTCACAGCAGAGAAATTCCATTTAACATACAATTGAATGATTAGCAAGTTTGTAAGTCGTTTTGTGGTTTTGTTTTAATTTTGAGAAAAAACCAGAAGTTTCATTAAATTAATTGACTCAGTCGCATAACTCATTTTGGCTTCGTTTGGAATGTTAGCCACAAGTGAGCTTAAAAGTAAATTGAGTCGCTGATTTTTAGTTTGTGTGCTTTGAAAAAAATCAGTTTTATTACTTTAGTGACTATCATTAATCATTATTTGCAGTTTAATGTGTTTAGAATAAAAAGTTTAAGTGTCTTCCTGTGAAAAAATGTGCAATTTGCTTGATCATCTTGAAGTCATTATCACTTTTGTAAGTTGTTATTGACAAATAATTTCTACTAAGCATCTTTCATCACTCTGTCGCATCCAAGCTTTAGAAACCATCTTACTTATTTGATGTTGTACTTCATAACTGAACTTCATCTAGTGTCAAACCCTCAGACTCTTAATTTTGCTTCTTATTCAGCACAGCATACATCGAATAAGCAAAATTGCATACAGATTTGAAAATTTCATAATCAACACTAAAGAATCCATAAACTTTGATCCTCATAGGAGTCTTCATAATTTCCATGATCAACTTTACATTCTTAGTGTAAGTTCTATCTCCATATATCCAGTCTGAATGGAATAGATTCATCGATATTTCATGTGATTTATAGAATATTATGTTTCCAAAGTGACATGGAAGTAAGATTTGTAAAATCATGATGATGGCGTACATTAGAGTTGTAAGGAACAAGCCACTGTCTTCTGCAAATGTTATCTAAAATGATCAAAACTTACTATAAAAGGTAGTTCACAAATGGCACTTTATATGTTTAACAAAAAAACTAATGCGGATGTTCAAAAGTTACATAACTTCATGGATATGCAAATCCATCTCACCTTAGTCAAATGAAATATTGTTGAGCACAGAATCAACGAACTGAAAAATCCTTGAACCATGAAATGCAAAGCATAGTTTCCTGACACATCATTACAAAAATCTTTAATTTTTATGTGATAGCTTATGCATGTTCGTAAGTCAACTGTTCCTTTATTTATTTTTGATTCTTCATACTTTTTTGGATTTGATAAGATTTTGTCAAAAATTGAGAATTCTTCAATCTTTTTAGAAAAGTTTGAATATTTGTGATTGTTCCTCACATGTTCCTGAAATTTAACAACTTTTAAGTAGCTTCCTAGTTCCTCTAACATACCAATAATATAACACATAAAGATTAGTGGATAGAAGTCCAACATGCTGTTGATTCCTGTTGTATACAATGATATTAAATAGACACCGCAGTTCATAAACATGTAAGCACCATCACTATTCTTATAATCCACATAGGCCCATGTCTTAAAAGGCAAGCGACGATCACTTGAAAGAATCGCCATGATTACACTCAATGTGCATATCACAAAATGAAAATTATAATTATATCTTGTAAGTTTTGATATTTTGGTCTCATAATGAATTATTAATGGACGTTCTTTGTTCCCATAGTTACTGAATTTAAGTAACTTAGACAATTTTTGCATCAAAGATTTAATCTTTTCAATGTTGATGATAAAAATAAATGATTTTATAGTTGTAAGATAGATACTCAATGATTTGCTGAATACTTCTGTAAATTCAATCATATCTTGATCTATCACTAAATGCCCGAGGAGAATTGTAAGCAAAACGATGCTTTGATCGAGAAAGAAAAGATGCATAACTAGTCCATAAAGTTTGTAGATCAATGTGACATTTCTGTCTTGCCAAATTCCTGCAGTTTTGAGAAACGTCATTGGAAAATTGAATGGAAATAAATCCATGATTATATTTTGTGATTTTAAAAGTACGTCAACTTTAGCTTCTAATTTTTAAAGATTCAAAATTCAAACTAAACACTTTAGAATCTTTATTCGAAGTAAAAGCAGCGACATAATTAGAAATGTGTAACTTTTACTAAAGACAAATATTGACAAACCAAACTAATATGTTAGGATGAATTATTAAATAATAGAACATTGAACTTCAAATTTTTTGGTGGTCAGAAAACTTTGAATCTGAATAAATATTTATAGAAAATTTAAGGAAATTAGAATTCTTGAATTTGAAACAAAATTAAGTTAAAGACTATAAAACTCTCTTTCTGAACATAAACGATAATATCTTCATTTGCCCCCTCTGGAGCCAACCAAGTAAAAACTAAAAGAGGAAATATACAAATAAACATGTTATCTCTTCAACATTTCAAACCTTAAATGACAAGCCTCTTGATTGTGTAAAAGATTGCGAATAATTTATTCAAGGTTGTTCAAACTATTTGAGCCTTGATCATACGAAATCATCTTCTTATTATAGACTGAAAAGATGACACTCGTCATGGTCGTCTTACGTTATGAAGTGCAAAATGAATAAATTTTGCGAAACTTCAACTTTTGGATTTTTTCGAAAGATTTTTGGAATCTACTGTTTTGGAAGATATTAATTGAAATCGTAAATGTCTTAAACTTTTTGGTATGAACCTTATTGAATCTCCACTGCTGTTTCTACAACACTGAATAAACTTTAAAAACTGTTAAACATAGAATTGTGTCATCAAGATTATTTACTTTTCCAGCATCGTTCACATCCATTCAATACGCAAATATAAAAGCCAATGTCCAATCTTTCTCAAAAATAAAATATTCAATCTGTCATATTATGAAGCCTCCAAAGAAATTGCACAATTAATATTCCAACCAATACAGTCAACATCTCGTTCAAATGTAATGAATTCACGCACTTTGGCTATTTCTTCCTATAGTGACCTTGATTTAATATTTTTAAAGGCTGAATTTAACATGTGGAATTGGAAATAAATCATTGATTTCTTGCTTAAATTGTTAATTTTTGCGATTGGCACTGAATTTGATTTTTGAAGTTTGGACAGCAACTTATGATGTGATAAGTAATTGATTTGTCAAACGCAAACACAAATTTTTATGATTTTGATAACTTTTTATTTAGCACTGCTTCATTCCTGATTATTATTAAAATTTTCTTTTCCAAAATTTTCTATATTCAACATATTGCACGTATATTTAAATAACTTTTCACATTCTGCATCATTATAAGCGATTTCATTCACTGGTTTTTTTATTAGACAATTTGTGAGATAAGCACCACCTTTTCCTTCTAATTCAGGTTCGATTGCTGCAAAAACAATCGTCCTTGCGCCTTCTTCGACTGTCTGAAATAAAAAAATAAATGCGAAAGGTTAGAGAACTGGATTTTTAAAGTTTTATTGGGTTTTTGGTGACAATTAATAGTTGCTGATTTGCAAAATAAGAAGAAGTAGTTTATATTTTGCAAACTCACCTTAAATAAAAATCTTTTCCATCCTGGTATATGATTAACAAGAGATTTCTGGAATATGTCAGTATCAACAACGCCTGTGGATTAAGAATGTGAAATATTATTGCAAATTAGTTGGAGGATTTAGATTCTTGAGTTTAAAGCTACTCTAATGAGAGTTCTGGTACCAATTCAAAAAGCTAGGTTATTCTGGGTTTTTCCAATCAACAACAATCTATAGACATACAAGACTTAAAATTTTAAGGTTGACGTCGGCAAACTTCTAACATTACTAATTAGCAGAGCTCGAGATAAATTCAAGTCGAGTCAAGTCACGTCAATTTCAAGCTCCACTGTCAAGCTCCACTGTCAAGCTTTGAAGAAAAACTAACCTGGATGTGGTGCAAATGACTGTATATCCCATCCTTCCTTTCGACAAACTCTTTCCAACTCATAAGTGAACATTATTTGAGCTAATTTACTGTTTGCATAAGCCATACTTGCACGATAATACTTTTTACAATGGAAATCATTGTAATTGATAAGTCCAACTTCGTGGACATTTGATGCCACACTGACAACTCGTGACTTTATTCCAATGGCTTCTGCACCTGCTCTCAAATTTGGTATTAATAGATGTGTCAACATAAAATGACCAAGATAATTGATAGCCATTTGAGAGATGTAACCTTCCTTGGTGACTTTGTATGGCGCAGGAAGGATTCCAGCTAGAATTAATTTAAAATTGAAGAAATATGATTCAAAAAAATAAAATTTGATTACCATTATTGATAAGCAAGTTAATACGTGGATATTTCTCGTGTATAATTTCCGCAAATCGCCTTACAGTGTCAATATCAAACATATCGCAGACCTCATAAGATACTCGATTTTGTACAAGTGATGCATCAATGTTTTTCTCCACAGACTCTTTGGCCTCTTTTGGATTGCGTACGGCTATGAATGAATAACATATGTTAATGAACTTATTTGAGCAATTGTGGCAAATTACTCAAGGTTAAGGCAATGTTTTCGAGAATATTCGGGCCAAATTTATAAAGATAACATTTGTTAAAATTTTTATTTGACCCAAAAGACTCAATCAAGCCTCCCTTCCTGATTAATAGCCATCTATTTACAATAATTTCACTTACCTAACACAACAGTCATCTCACATTCAAGTAATTTCCTCAATACACCTAAACCAATGCCTTTATTACCCCCCGTAAGTACAACAATCTTTTGAGCTTGTTTATATGGTTGTGCTGTGTAAAGTAAAAGATTCAAGGTTGAAGTCATTAATATTTTTTTTGGGAATTTCTTCATCGCATCTAATGTAATTGAACTTACTGCCAACATTGAATTGTTTCATAATCGCATCCTCATAATTTCCTTTTGTACCCATCCAGAGCATCTTGATTTCAAATATTGTGCGACGTCGTTTGATTGCATCGCCTGCATATTCATAGTAAAGGTATAGGAGGATGCAGATTGTGAGGATAAACGATACTATTGCGAATATTGACATAGTTTCCTGAACTTTTTGACTAAATTGGGTTTCTACAGATTGTTGCGTAATTTGATTCCTATGACGTATGTCAGATGATGACTATTTCTTAAATATTAGGTATAAATCCACCGTTTCCTTTGAATATTGACGTTAATCCTAATCGTATTAAATCCTTAAACTTTCCCAAAAACTTTCTAATTTTTATATCCACTTAATAATTCACTAAAATTCTACAAAAACTTTTTCTTGCCACCGAAATTCAAAATTCTAAATTTTCTTGTATCCGCTACACAATTTTAAGTTTCACCGTCGAGTAAAATTTCCAAAAATTTCTAATTTCTTTCATGTAAAAAATTGTTAATCTCCACAACTTTAATTTCACACGATTTAATTCACAACTGATCGCGTCTAAAAGAGAAAACGTAATGACAATTGCTGTGTAGTTGATGTTGAACTGCCAAATATTTTTATTTGTGGATATTTGTGTGTTTTCTTCTCTTTTTCTATCTCCAAACGAAGAGAGATGTGAACGCGGTTTGAAGATATTGTTTTTTTGCTCATTTACCTTTGCGCTACCAACATCTTTAGGTTTACTTTGGTAGTGAACTTTTATTTGAGATTTGAGAGAGATTTTTTTGGCTCTGGAGATTGTTGAGCATTTAAATTTGTGTATGAAGTATATTTTTTGGATATATTAGAGCTGTCAGTTGTTTAAAAAAAGACATTTATTAAATATGCACATACAATAAGTCAGTAAATAAGAAGTTTGTCATGTGGATACATGAAATGATTCAAGAATCAAATCAGATTGATTTTCGAGTTTTTTAAAAAAAAATTTGATTCAATATTTTGAGTTTCAAACTCATTCAAATAGTTTTATTATTCACTGCAATTCAAAGTTTCATTTAATTCCTGTGCATTAAAATCAATTGAAATTGACATATATGAAAAATAATCTTGCATGGAACCCCTAAAAACTTACTGTCTATTCATCCGCTAATAAGTTTATAAACCAAATTATCATTCAAGTGTTGGGTACATACTCATCGACTATTGAATAACTCAAATGTGCCGAAAATGTTTGGGAATTTAACCTACGTCAACAAATGTATCAATCTTCTTCATATTCATCTTGTAGTTCATTTGCAAATACAAAAGAATCATTAGCTTATAATTTTTTTGGCATTATTTTCGAGTATCTTCCTTCATGATTCAACAATCGTCCAAGATTTAAAGAATCTTTTGAGAAAATTTTCTCTAGAACTTGTAAATCTGTTTTGGGTAAAACCTAGTCATAGATTATTTAAAAACTTGTACGCGTTTTAAGTCTATGATTTAGCTCAAGAATAAATAGGCATTTAATCTCAACAGTTTTTGCGTCTTTAGTTGTTTTTCATAGTCATTCCCGAGCGACAATTTGTGGCGATGGCAGTTGTGTGATTGCCTCCAAACTGCCTTGCCTTGAACAAGTTGATTTCAAGGCACTGCCTTATACTACATTGCCTTGTGGCTACCATACGACTGCCACCAAAACAAATGTTTTTTTCTAAAATTTCTGCCTTGCTCAGGCAGTTACAAGGCTGTCATATGACTGCCACCCATTTCAGCATTGTCACAACATACTTCACAAGTAAAATCAGAAATGACTAATATAAGTCGAAGAAATGTTTCCATACTTTTCCTAAGATATTTTAAATAATATCTTTTGTGGCATGGCACTTTCACTGATTCGTGCTCCTATCAAGACTTAAGTCGAGATAAGACTTAAACTTTTGAATCTCATTTCCTTATTAATTATAGTACAAAACCAAATGAGCTAACGAGCATTTAATTTTCAAAAAAATCAAAAATTATAACAGAATTATAACAGTCTTTTGCTGCCATAATAACTGCCTTGTAAGCACCACCTCGTCAACATTTAGGCGATTACAAGGCAAGTCAGTCAGAAGTTGGTGGCAGTTTCAAGATAGCCTTGCGCGCGGAAATATGGAGGTCAGGAGTTGCCATCAAGGCGATAAGGCAGTCGTATGGTGATTATTGATTCGCCTTGACTCAAGGCAGTTGGCAGTAGGCACTGCCTTGTGACCGTCGAATGGCTGCAATAAGGCTGTTGAATGTCGCTCGGGATTACCTCTTCAATGAATTATCTGAAAAAATAAAGTCAATATAAGTTTCACCTTTGCTCGTCTGATGTAATTTTTGTTTGTTCAAGTGATTTACAAATCCGTCATTTAATTATTCGTTGTTATTCCTGTAGTAAATTATTTTAAAAGATTTTCAACTCCACTTAATAATTTCAACTTTCATCGAGCAATTCCTGATGATTTTCTCACTGAAAATAGTCGAACTACCGTTGATTCTGAATATTCTATTAATAAGCTATGTTTTGAGTTAAGAATTAATAAATTTAGACTTTATTAAGCTAGCAAAAAAATATAAAAATGACAATTGCCTTGACTTTGCCTTGATTAATAAATAAACAACTCATACGAAATTCTAGTCGGTTCCAAAGTTTTTTATGCCAAGTAAATCGCACGTAAATGAAAAGAATTTTCTACATTCTGCATTGTCCATTGCTGTCTTAGCCATTCTTGATGGTCTGCAATTTGTGATATAAACTCCACCATTTGACTCAATTTCAGGTGCAATAGCTGCATAAATTACCGTTCTCGCTCCTTGCTCTGGAGTCTGAAAAAATTGTTATTAGGATCAATCTTATAGCTTTTAATAATGCACAACAATACCTTCATAGTAAGCTTCCTTAACCAATTCAAAGATTTGACGAGAGAATTCTCAAAAATTCCAGTATTGACAAGTCCAGGATGACATGAGTATGGTTGGACATTCCAACTCTTTTCGATGAACATTTTATGCAAATGTCTTGTAAACATGACTTGAGCTAATTTACTGTCACAGTATGACATTCCAGGATTATAAAATTTGGTGCAATTAAAGTCATCGTACTTGACTCTTCCGCCGTGATGCGAACATGATGAAACACTGACGATTCTCGATGTTTTGCCAGATTCCTTTGAAGCGAAAATGAGTTGAGGCATAAGAAGATGAGTAAGCAGGAAATGTCCGATATAGTTGACTGCCATTTGAGTTTCAAATCCATCTTTTGTGAGTTTGTAAGGACCACTCATTATTCCAGCTAGCAAATGGAACACAAATCGACAAAATAATCAAAACATCTTCAAATTCACAGCAGAAGACCTTAATTGAATGATAATTACCATTATTAATTAACAAATTTATTCCACGACATCGTTCTTGTACACGCTTTGCAAATTCTCTGACGGAACTCAAATCTCCAGTGTCACAATTCTCATAAATGACTTTATTCATCAACAATGAGCTGTCAATGTAAGATTCCACTGACTTTCGTGCTGCTTCAATATTTCTTACACCTGTGAAGTACATGAAGTTTGTTTTACAGACCGTACACGATATTTACATAAACGACATACCTAAAATAACTGTCATTTCACATTGTAATAGTTTTTTCAGTATACTAAGGCCAAGACCACGATTTCCACCTGTAAGCACCGCGACTGATGACGATTGCGAGTAAAGTGCTATGGAAATATTCCAACAGTTATGCATAAACATAAGAAATAATAGTAAATTTCACTTACAAACTTTGTTAAAGCACGGGCCGTAGATTAAATCTTGAATATTTGTCTCAAAGCCAAGATAAATATATTGAAGTTCCATAAGGAATTCATTAAAATCTCTAGGCGTTCTGGACTTGAATAAAATAAATGTCACAGAAAACAAGATCAACAGGAACAAAAGAATTAGCACAATATAAAAAATCATATTTATTTTATTCTATATCCAACTTATTGCAACGACTGTCTTAAAGCAACTGAACAAATTTTCCCAAATATTAAATGTCTATTCGCCATAATGTAGTAGTGTATGGTAAATTGTCGAGAAGCAAGTAATGTTAACAATTGCTGTCTTCATTTGAATGTAGTGAGAAAATTTAATTTTTTGGACATCTTTTCAGCAGTGAAAGTGAATTTAAATGCCGGCATTGTTTATAAAGACAGCTTTTAATTTTCTCAGATCTTAAAAATGATAATTAAGTTATAAAACCAGTAAGTTTTATGAATCAAATTGTATTTTGCAGACTGCTGACATTGAACATTATTTTACTACTGCTGACTTCGTTTGATACACAATCTCATAAAGGATGATTCGCAAAATTAAAACAAAATACAAGAAAAACTTGTTTTTTTTTTTTTGACAAAATTTGTTTATTTTTACTTGATAAAGTCCATTTTTTTCTCAGTAAATCTGCAACTCTGTGATTGAATACAGTCTTAAAATAGAATTCGGGTGTGCTTGGACCTCTCCCATGGGGGTTTTTTTTTGAATTATAAAGCACCAGTTTTGACCTTATCTTCAAAAATTCTATTCAGATCCGAAACTCTTAATGCCAAGACGGTCACAAGTGAATAAAAATAATTTTCTACACTCTGCATTATCCATGGCTTTATATGACATTTTCGATGGTCGACAATTTGTGATATAAGCTCCACCATTTGATTCAATTTCAGGAGCTATTGCTGCATACACAACCGTTCTCGCTCCTTGCTCTAGATTCTGAAAATATGTTTTATAAGTTTTCAATTTTAATTCATACATATTCAGCCATAATACCTTGCATACAAATTCCCTAAATTTATCAAGAGGCCCAAAAAGGGAAGTTGCAAAGAGTCCGGTGTTAACAAAGCCTGGATGGCATGAGTATGCATGGACATTCCAATTATTTTCCTTGCACATTTCGTGTAAATGTCTTGTAAACATGACCTGCGCTAGCTTACTGTCACTATATGAGATCTGACCATGATAAATATTTGTATAGTTAAAGTCATTATATCTTATTTTTCCAACAAAGTGAGAACATGATGAAACACTGACAACTCTAGAAGTTTTGCCAGATTCCTTAGAACCATAAATAAGTTGAGGCATCAGAAGATGAGTAAGGAGGAAATGTCCAATATAGTTGATTGCCATTTGAGATTCAAATCCATCTTTTGTGAGTTTGAATGGAACTTCCATTATACCGGCTGAGAAAAGAAACGGTTATTTTTAATAAAGTCAATCTGAATAACTCAAGACAAGTAATCATTACCATTATTAATCAGCAAATTAATTCCTCGAAATCGTTCCTGTACACGCTTTGCAAATTCTCTGACTGAACTTAAATCTCCAGTGTCACAATTCTCATAAATGACTTTATTCATCAACAATGAGCTGTCAATGTAAGATTCCACTGATTTTCGTGCTGCTTCAATATTTCTTACACCTGTAAAGTACATTAAGATTGCTTAACAGACAGTACATGATGTTTACATAAACGGCATACCTAAAATAACTGTCATTTCACATTGCAACAGCTTTTTTAAAACACCTAATCCTAGACCACGACTTCCGCCTGTAAGCACAGCCACTGATGAAGATTGCGAGTAGAGTGCTGAATAAGAAAACTTTTATTTTTGGATTGCAAACCTTAAAAGTGTTAAATTTCCTTACAAACTGTGTTGTAGCGCGGTGCATTCATGTAGTCCTGACATATCGTCTCAAAACACCGCCATCCTGCATGAAGTAAAATAAGATTTATTTCGATAAAATTCGGCATCAATATTTTGATTAAAATCAAAATTATTAAAAGCACAAGAAGGAATAAAAGAACATTCAAAACCATAATGATCAGTTGAATGTCTTCAAGAAACTAAAATAAATTTTCAAAAATGCTAAATGAAGATTTGACAAAGTAAAGTTGTGTGTAGATTCGGATGCTCAATGAGCAACAAGCTTCTTTACTGTTATTGTCCCATGTTGTATCTTTTCTTGTTGCAATAGTATCAAAACATTCGACCATATTAATCTCTTCGTATCAACAGTTTGTCACTTGCTGCATACAGTTTAAATGATTTTTTGTCGCTGTAAGAATTAAATTTATTTGATTTATTCAGGATAAGTCTTCTTTATTTTCAAAATTAATTTAATTTAATTCGTAAAAACTTTAGTCTTAATAATGCCATTATATGAAAATAATTCAATTAACTTAAAATCATGTCCGCCTTTAAATTTAAATGTTTTAAAAATAATATCTATTCAAGTTAGTTCAAATTTCCGAAATTCTCAATTTTTAATAATTTACAGCAGTAATCAAAAAGCTTTTTACATTCTTGTGGATTATTAGCTACATCATTGGGAGGCATGATTGTACAGTTGCTAAGATAGAGTCCTCCCTTGCCTTCTAATTTTGGTGATATTGAAGCATAAATGATTGTTCTTGAGCCTTCTTCTGGTGTCTAAAATTGAAATAAAATATATTCTTAAGAACAAACTCAAATATGTAATTAAGTCTTCAACATACCTTAAACATAATAGTCCTAAACCATGGAATATAGTCAGTACTAGAATTTGCAAAGAGATCTGTGTCAACAACGCCAGGATGAAGAGAATTCGTTTGCATTTTCAGTCCGTTTTGAGACAAAAGAACTTGCAAATGCTTTGTAAACAGGACTTGAGCAAGTTTGCTTTTGTTGTATGCGTCAGCTGGATAATAGAATTTCCTAAAAGTGGCAAAAAATATTTATCAATTCCAAATCATGACTATAAAGTGATCAAGTCTAAACTTACTTGCAATCAAAGTCGTCATAATTGATGACGCATCTCTTGTGGACACAACTTGACACATTTACGATTCGAACATTTTTTCCATCATTATCGTTCGATCCAGCAATTAACTGAGGCATAAGAAGATGTGTTAAGAGAAAATGTCCCATATGATTGATTGCCATTTGTGACTCAAAGCCATCAGCTGTTATGTTGAATGGTGTGAACATTACACCGGCTAGAAAATATTGAAAATCCACAAATTAATAAAGGAAGATAATATTGTAGCTTGATCTTCAACTTACCATTGTTAATCAACAAATGAATTGCTGAATATTTCTCCTGAACTTTCTTAGCGAAATCCCTGACTGACTTCATATCCCCAGTATCACATTTTTCATAAAAAACCTTGTCTTTTGTAAGTTCAGTTCCAAGAGCCTTCTCAATACTCTTTTTAGATGCTTCAGGACTTCTAACACCCAACATAACAGTCATGCTGCATTTTAGAAGTTTTTCAAGTGTATGAACTCCAATTCCACGATTTCCACCGGTCATGATTGCTATTTTGTTGGGTTTTTGAACGAGATCTATAGATGGAAATGACAAAAAATTAAGATTGTGAACTCATGAAATGACAACAGCCCAAACTTACCAACTTTATTCTTATATCTCAAGAATGTATCTTCAATCAATGCTTGTGTTCCTCCTGCTTGCATTTTAAATTCAATCACAAACTCTTCCCAATTTTTTGGCATATCCTTTTGTGTTCTTAAGAAGAAGAAAGTGATGAACAAGATGACAACAAGCACAGCTAATGCAATCAGGAACATCATGATGTTTGATTTTTATTTCTGTTACTTGCCAATATTGCGTTTAATGACTTTTGTAGCTCGCAAAATGATTGTCTGAAAATATTCAATAGAAAGAATTTGTCACATGCATTGTAAACGGATGGAATGTGCGTGAATTGAATTAATTAAAGCTTGTGATTAAAATTAGCATTGGAATTCAAATTTCTGAGTTTGTGATGGAATTCTAACTGTTAAAGTTGACTAAAGAGTTCTGCATTAAGAACTGAATATTTCCTTTTTAAGGATTTCAAACTCAATCACGAAATTTTTTAAAGAAGTTCTTATTAATCATGATAAACACAAATTGTAGGAATACTTGAAGAGTACGTGCCTTTTTTATGACATTAATTACACATTAAAAACTTAGATGACTGTCTTTGCTAATTAGATATTAATGAGTTATTAATAATTTCAGAGAAGTTATTAAGAGCACGCTTACTTATTCGTGTCTAAAAAACATGACAAAGAAAGTTTTTAACAAGATTAAGGATAATTCAAATCTTTAAATCCTATCAGTTTGTTCTTCCCATAAGTCAGACACAAACGACTCAAAAATACCAAACAACATTGAAGAATCAAATTGTCGACTAATGTCTCGTGGTAACGGTCTTAAATTAACAAACGGTTAAAATGTTTAACACAGCTTTATAAAGAGGTGCTCAAAATTGAACGAAAGTCTCTTAAAAACTATATTCTAAACCAATATATATAAAGATATCCAACCAAAGTTCAGTCTTTTTGACGTCAAAGCCTGTCTAATTAAGTATTAAATAAAATTTGATTAATTATGATCAGTTCTCAGCAGTATATCTAATTAAAACAACCATTTCCTATATGTGATCAGACTAGACAATGATTTGGTGTCTTAAATCTTGACGATTGTCATTTACGTCAAACTTAAGGTTTCTGCTATGTTTTATTATCTAATATCATCTTTATTAATCGGAGATATCTTTACTTGATCACCTTCCTTTGATAGTTAATTGCGACATCATCAGGTGTCAATCTTTTTGCAAATGAGCGAATCGCGTGGATTATCAAGGTAGGTTAGATCAAGTGTTTTATCATTCAAGATTTTATTTTAATTATTAAAACCAAGAGAAGATTTTTTGCATTCTAAAATAAATCTCGGGAATTAGAATAAACCCAATATATCTTCTTCAACAATGCAAGAATTTAAATAATCTTCTGTCATGAAAAACTTTAAAATAAATTTGAAGAATATTTGCATTTGTCAAATCAATCTTTTTGACATTTAGATTGATTGAAGATGAAATATTTGGGAAAAATCTAACCTGATCTTATCAGATTATCTTGCGATGCGAAAGAAAATATTAATTTGCATTCAAAAAATTTGGTCAAAGCATTATTAAATGCCTGTTCGTGATCATGCATGGTTTATTGCATTAAGTTATGATTATTTCACTTCTACTGAATGTAAAGTTTTGCAAAAAATAGTAATTTAAGGAACAGCAAACCATGTAGCTAATTTCACTAAAGCAAGTAAGTTTGTAAGTTTTAAACGTTAAGTCAATGAAACATTTATGTTTTAAAATCTACTTTTAATTCCAAACTTACCAAGTCTAGAATCTAAAGTTTTAAGAAAATAGAATTAATCTTTCAAAATCTTTAAATTCTTATTCGTTTGATTCTTAATAAGTTAAAAGATTAGTTTGAAGCTTAATTAAAATTTTAAATGCTTATCAAACTTAATGAATTTTTCTGACGCAGATGGAATCAACTATGACTAGTTTTGCAACAATTTCATTAACAGCACACGTTTTAATTACTTCAAAATTCTATACCTTCATTAAAATATAACATAAACAATTAAATGGCACAAGAAGTCTTGCTGTACTAATAAGCAAAATATCATTAAATTCACTGTTTAAATATTGCATTATAATTGCTGACTTTTAGATTAACTTAAATTAATTCCATTCAGAGTTGTTATGCAGTTGTATTTTGTGAACAAGACTATTAGTAACGATCAATTCATCTTAAATTTGGCAAACAGTAAATGAAATTTTAATAATCTAAAGCGAATTTTAAATAAATATTTTGTTTTTCTTATGTAAACATGCAAGAATTCACCACTGACTTCAATTGTCGACACAACTATTTGATTTATCATCAATTTTCATACTGCTTCAGTTTGTTATTTGACGTAATTGTGTACACTGTGAATCAACAGATGACCATGCACTTATAAAGACAGAACTTCTTCATTTTTCCATCGAATCTTCTCATTTAAATTTCAAAAAAATCAATTCACATCAAAAGCATTCAAACTGATCATTAAACCTTACATTTCTTTTCTAAAGATCTTCAAAAAATACTCAGTATGACACACTTATTATCTGCTTAAAATTATTTCTGACTTTTTTGTTTAAGTCTTGTTCGTTAAAAGTTTGAGCAAAGACTAAAGTTTAACTGTTCTTCCCTCTCTATTCAGCCGGTCGAACAGAAGAAGTGCTTGAGTAATTTTCTATAAATGAGTACAAAGCAGCTTGAGCTAAAGAAATTAATGCTTAATGGATACTAAATTGAGACTGAGAATTGAGGAAGAGAAGTAAACAATATGAATGAGCATAAAGGGTTTGTTGTAGATGATACACGTGGGAGAGAAATTATGGGTCCGTTGTGAATATTTAAAGAGTTCCAATTATTGAAGAAAAACATTTGAAGTATCTTACAAAATATTGAGAATCTTAAGGTTTACTTTATAAATAAGCTGCATTTCAACTAAGTTTTTACAGACTTCAAATCAAACTTTAAGAAGGTTTTAGTCAATTTCATCAGAATTAAGACTTAACTCCTGATTTCAACAATGTCTCAAACCAAAGAGACCGTCCAAAAATGAGAGAATCACATTCTCTCTCAAGAGAGAGAAACTCGGTCGCTTGGCAATCAACGCAAAGTATTCTTCTCATTCTCTCACAATATTTATTTGTTTTGGTCATTTCCAAAAATTTCACTCGAACAATTCATCCATAAAAACATTCAAATTAGCACATCAAACTACTTTTCCTTTTCAAACTCACCATTAACAAACAATTCACACAATTATTCACTATTAATCCTCACAACTTCCTTTTCAAATAAAATCTTTTTTCATAACTTTATCGTCTTTAGAAATTGAAATGAGAACTAAAATCCTCTCATTATGATGCAACTAAGCATGCTTCTTCCCTTCTTTTGTCTTCTCTTTTGAATCTCTTTTTATTATTGTGGTGATCAGTCGGCTCAACAACCTTATTTACACTGGTAGAAATCTTTAAAGATGCTGAAGATTGTTAATGATATGGAATGGGTTTTAAATCTTTACTTACTTCCTGAAAACACGTTCTAAATTTGAATTAGGTTTGTTTCGAAAGGTTTCTAACAATTGACTCCTGAATGCTATCAATTCACTTCCAAATCTACAAATTTATATAAAATCACTCACATATTCCTCACAGTGCTTTATTACCTTAAGTCTCTCATTCATATTTCTCGCAACACTCTTCTTATTGTATAGCACACGATTGTTGCTGTTACTGCTGCGTTACGATTCAACAAAAGTCGTTTCTCTTTTTCTCCACTCAGTTCAACATTAAGCTTCTGACAGAAAAGAAATCCAAAGAGAAATCTGAAGTTTTTTATTTAAATCTTTTTGTTAATTTTGCAAATTCTTATTAAGTTTACTGACTTCTATTCATCCATTTGACAACATGCAATAATCAGCATATCCAAAAATGAACAGAAACTTTCTCATTGCTTCGATACTCATCGGAGTTCTTCAAATATTGTCAGGTAAGTAAATCAGTGAATCAGATGATCACTCACGCATAATCACCTTGGACTAGAACATTTTGAAAATTAATAATTCATTGCAGTCAGTTCTATTGAACTAATTGCGTACTTTTCCCAAAGTGGACTTCACGGAGAACTTCATTTTACGAATTCAATAACAAATCCGAAATTAGTGAAAGTGAAAGCATTTCTAGAAGCGACCTTGCAATACTCAGAACAGAGTTGGTCCTGGGGACTGTACAATAATCCAATTGATTACTCAATTGTCGATCCAATTGAAAGATGTAAACGCGATCGTGTTGGTCGCGAATTAATTTCTTTTGATGACAAACTTGGATACTTAATATTACCTGGTAATGAATCATCAACGTGGAATGATGTGGACTTAAACTTGTCCGGTGAGTTTTATTGTGGGAAATAGTTTTTTTTTTGAATTTGCTTACTTATTGGCTATCTTACAGGTGAAAATGGCCTTTGGGGTCGCTCTATTGTAATGACCAGTGGCAGTGATAGAAATGTCCGAATCTGCTCGACAATCACTAATAAAATTTCATTCAATGAACAAAATGAGATGGAACATAATGCAGAAGCAAAGTTCCGTAAAGGTGTTACTGGTAGCATGTATTTCAGGTGGCTCAAGTCTGAGAAAAGTTTCAATTCTGATTTGCTGATTTACTCGAATTTACATCATTATGGAGGTGCTGATAAGTTAGTATTTATGCCATGGTGCTAGGCTTCCCCTGTTTTTAAGATCACGGCTAGCTCAGACAAACTCAATCCTAATCATAACTTAATTTTAATTCCAGACATCTTGACTCTTCATTCCCAACAACATCAGCAATCTCACTATTTTCATGGAAGATCTACGCCACAGACATCTTTGACCAAACAACAGACAGAATTGAAGAGAATTGTAATGTCCTGCAAACAATCTATGATCCACAGAATTATGGACCAGGAAATTCAATTGGTGACATCGATGATCGAGTTGGAAAGCTAAGGATTAGTGACAAATTAAATGTTAATGCCAATCAAGTCTTTCAAGACAATCAGTTGCATCTTATGGAATCAGACATAAATGGACCATCAAGAAAGCTTTATGTTGTGATTTTAGACAGCAGAAATGACTTTTTGGGATGTGCTAAAATTCGATTATTAAAGCCTCGTGTCGCTAAATCATTTATCAACTCTAATGGAATCAAGGGAGAACTGACACTAATCCAGAGATCAAGATTTGAACCAACATGGTTAAACTTTACTTTCGCTGCTGCAGATGGAACTTTACAGTCCAATTTTGAGTATGCAAAGAATATAGCAAGCTTTAAAGTACATAATTTACCACCAACAAATCTTCATGCTGATTACTGCAAGACAATGGGTGACATATTTGAACCAAGACATGAATTTAATGTTGAAAACTATCCACCACCTGGCTATGGGACTCAAGATCAATACTATATTGGAGATTTGCTTGGTAAATTGAGTGGAAGGAACAAGATGGACAGGCATAAGTACATAATCGAGGATGGATCGAATGAACTAAGTGGAATCTATTGGGACTTGTTCCTGCCATTAGCTGGAAGGCACTCAATTGTTAACCGTGGATTTTCTCTAAATCAGTAAGTATGCATTTAGACTTTTAAGACTAGAGACTAAAACTGCTTCTTTTCAGATTCGATCGTTCAAATCCACAAGACATAAAAGAGTTTCCAACTGGCTGCAGTTCATTTTCACTTTATGAGAGATCTAAAAACTACCAAATTCCAATGCAGACCCTCCAAGCTCAGTTTAGGTATCCATTAGTAGGAAAGATTCTTTTCCGTCAGCCAAAAGAAGAGCCATGGCATGACACAACTGTTATTGTTGAATATTTAATACATGCTGATGGTTCAAGTCTTAATAATACAGATGAACATGAGTGGAGTATCCACTTACATGCACCAAATATCGATTATTATTCTTGGCAGAATCGATGTGTGTCTACTGGTGATATTTTCAATCCAACAAAGGTTCCAACAAATGAGCGATGCCTTGATGATGGTAATAAGTTGTGTAGATTAGGTGATTTATCAAGGTTGGGAACATTGAACATAGCTGGTGGAAAAATTGACTCATTAAGGTACACAAGGAAATTATTCACAGACGACAACCTTCCTCTAAGTGGCTTCAGCAACATTCTTGGCAAATCTATAACAATTTATGGGAAAAACGGTCCAGTAGCCAGAGGAGAACGTCTTGGATGCACAAGAATTGAAGGTTTTCATCCACGAAAAATCATAGCAAAGAACTGGCATCCAAATGGAGGTCAATTACAATTAAAAGGCAAGGTTGAGATGTATCAGCAGTCTGAATATGAAATAACGAATGTTGAAGTCAGTTTTAAAGACTTGGACGATACTTCTTGGTATCATATCCATCAGACATCAGTTGAGGAGGATTTAGAATTTCCATGCGAAGATTCAACACTTTATGGACAGTATAATCCAACTCATATTAATCCAAAGTTATCGCCATTGCCAGTAGTTGGAACTACAGATCAGTATCAAATGGGTGACTTGTCTGGAAAGTTTGGAACACTCGATGGACTGACTGAATATGCGATTAACTATAATGATACTCTTCTTCCACTTTTTGGCTATGATAACATTGTAGGGCGGTCTGTTGTTGTTCATAAACGTGAAAAGTTCTTCAGATGGGCATGCAGCACTTTAGAACGAGGATATAGTCCAAGTGAAGCTCGAGAGATTCGTGGAATTGCTTCCTTCCATAATCCACTTGGTTATGCTTGGGGATATTTGAGAATGACTCAGCTGATTGGCAATGATGGAAGTCAGAGTGACACAATTATAGAAGTAAAGCTACGACATCCAGGAGATGGCAATAGAAACATCACAAGACATCATAACTGGAGTGTTTTTGTTAATCCTGTTAGTGTTGATGCAACAGTACAGCAAACTGCAACTAGATGTGTGGCTGGTGGATATGTATGGAACCCACATTATACTCAACTTGCTGATCCTTTGAATGATGAACTTTATAGACAGGAATGTGGTCGAGATAATCCACTGAGATGTTATGTTGGTGATGTCTCAGCAAGATTAGGCACAATTAATATTGGAGTCGACAGAATGATATTTTCTGATCCTAATTTCCCATTGGAAGGTGACATTAGTGCCATTGGACGTTCAATTGTTATTTACGGTGCCAATACATCAAGTGAACGTTTTGCTTGTGCCAATATTGAGCCTGATTATGACATTGTCAAGTATGTAAATGTGGAAAGACCACCAAGATTCGTCCTATCTCAATTTATCGACGAAGTAAGAAGGGTCATGGCAATTCCTGAATGGTTCCTACACATCGATTCAAGAACAACTCAAATTCTTCATAATGGTGCCTGTGTGGCTTTTAAATTGCACTTTAAAGGTCCAAAAGCTCATCAATTGGAACAAGATTTTTCAAAGTTAATGTCAACTGGTCAATTAGCAGAACCGTCACTTTATGTTCCTGGCTATGTTAATCAAAAGAGAAAGAAGAAGATTGCATACAGAATCTGTAGTGTTAGGGATCCAAATGATAAGAAGAGTAAGTTGTTGCTGGATTTTTAAGATCTGTAAATTTTAACGAAACTGATTCTTATATTTTGTTTGCAGAGAAACCAAATCGTATTTTAAGTAAATCTTCATCAGCTGTGCCTCTTACTAGAATTACATTCAACATCTCATTTATTTTAATTTTTCTTCATTGGATTTTGTAGAGGATTTAATCAGAAAATGATCAAAAGATCTTCTGTTAAATTATTGTGAGATTAAGTTTAAAAATCCTTACCAGAATGAACGCACAAGACTCGAAATTTAGATATTATGATTATTTTATATATTAAAGACCTTACACATGTATGTACATTGAATGTTTTTGTTCTTAATAAATGGAACTTTTTTCTATAATGTAAATACGTCATGTGCCAAATTCAATTAGTTGTGGATATAAATTTCATACGAAATTGAGCACCTGAATAACTGTTTTAGTTTTATTTTTTAAGCTTTCATTGCTTCTTAATCTACATTTCGATTCTTTGCTTCCATACTAGCGTAAACTTTCATGTTCAAAAAGGTTAGCTTTCTTTTTAATATTTCCACCAAAAAAGGTGGTTGTCATAAGATCTAACTGTAAAGGAACTAAAATATCTTATTAAATAAACTCTAGAAATCCGCTTGCGAAAAAATTCTCATATTTTTTATTCAAATTTATTTTATTATTTTATCATCTGTTTTAAATCATGTATAAGCTCTTCTTAACAAGTTTATCATGACTCTGTGTTTGTTTTATCCATCAATTATTGTCAAACTTGTTTTCTCAAATTATTATTATTTTTATTTATCTTTTGCTTTATTATTTCTTTCCGAAAGACGAAAAATTATAATAAATTTAATAAAATGTTTAACAGTACCTATTCTTAATTTCATAATAGTGCAGTTATCATCATTCTTTATGCTAAAACAACTGTTTAACTTATTTTTTACTTAAAATGTGTGACTTTATCTTCCGTACTGATGACACATTGGAACTTAAAACTTTGTTAAATAATTAAAAATTTCATTTTTTTACCAACAAACGGGGTTTGCACCTTGGACATCAGTTGTGAATTGGGAAATACCTGCAAGAATTTAGTTTATATTATAAAAATGTGTAGGAATGTAAAGAAGGGGGGAATGGGTTGTTTTAGAAACAACTCGTGCATCCCTTTGAAACCCTTAGTTGATTTTCCCGCCATTTTGAATTCTCCACTAGAAAATTTAAATTGCGAATCCCAGACTTAATTTTCATGAAAATTACAATTTAATTTTGTAGATTGATTGAAAAAAGTGGCAAGAACCGAATTTTACAACTAAAGTTCACGATAAATAGCCTGATAAATTAGATTTTTGGAAAGAAATTTTACATATTTTACGGCCAACCTCACATCAATTCCTAAGTCATGTAATCACATAAAACCTAGTTTATTGACAAAGTATGCATGCAACACGCATTTCTAAAGTATTCCCCACAGAATAAACAAATAGTTCAATACATACCATTATTGGACATAGATTCTAAAACGTTTTGAATATACGCAGAGACTTCTGGATGTACATAAGGCTGTAATTTCTCATGTAATTGAATAAACGAATGTTGTAACAATGTTTGATATTTTGGACGATTTTTTTCTTCTTTTATCAGACTAAAAAAATACCAAAATTAGAGTATGATTAATAATGAATGAGTCACTGTGTCTATACACTTTTATATCGTCCATCGACAAACACTTACCACGTATTTACAAAGCTACAGAATTCTTCCGAAAAATCAATTCCGTTATAATGTCGAGTTAATTGTGGTGCTGGACCTTGAACGACTTGATACAATTGCTCGAAAACAGATGCCCACTTACTAAACGACGAAAATATGCAGCAAGAAGTCAATTGAATGTGGCATGTAGGCGTAAGTAATTTTATTTTTGACTTACTTTGGATAGGGAAATTTTCCAGTTGCTACTTCCATTAAGGTGATTCCAAGTGACCAAACATCTGAACGAACATCGTATCCTTTATGAGAAAATTCCGGATCAATTCTTTCCGGTGCCATATAAGGCCTGCAGCCTGCATCTTTTGTTTTTGCAATCGAATCTACATAAAGTATGTAAAATTAGCATTCAGTAATGGTTGTCATAACGACATTTATGTTAATTACCTATCAACTGCCCAGAAATGCCGAAATCACTGTAAAGAATGTCCAACAATTATGAGTCATGCAAGCAGGAAGTGCGTGTATAAGAATGAAACTTACCAAAGTTTTATATCACCTCTATCATGTAATAGAATATTTGATGGCTTCACATCCCGATGAATTATTTTCAATTTTTCTTTTAAATAATTTAAAGCATGAACAGTGGCAACTGTAATTTGCCCGAGAATATTTTCCGGTATACGTTGATTTTGACGCTCATAGACATATTTATAAAATTTATCGAGGGAAATTGACATCAATTCCATTAATATCCAACAATCTCCTTCCTTAAAAATCGCTCCATAGAAGCGTACAATATAACTACAGTCATTTGATGACCGCATAGCTACATCCAGATCCTAGAATGCCGAGGATAACATTAGTTATGTCTATATACTGAATATCAGCATTAACTTACCATAATTCTTTTCTGTTCTCGTTCATCGACAACATTTGAACACCGTATTCGCTTTACTGCCATGACTTTTTCATTCTTCTTAAATATCATTTTATTGACGCTGCCAAATCCACCCCTTCCAATTTCCCCAAGATCCAAGAGATCATCTATAAATTAATTAAACTTAGATTTGCTGTATTAATTAATAGGAAATGACATTACCTGCAGTGAAATCATAAATTTCCGAAGTACTGAATTGTAATTTACCGGAATCTGAATGTGCTGTTGCTCGAACACGGTCACGACTTGAAGATAAGAGAGAAAAAGAAAACATTGTTAAGGAATTTATTCAGTGTTGGCAATTTTGTTCCTGGAAGTACTTTTTATCGATAGGAATTGGAATTTCGTTGATTCTTATGATCAACATTAGTTAAAGCAGTGTCATTAATTGCTTAATCATAGTCAAAAAGGAATTAATAACTTTGAACTGGAAGTAAGTGATAAATCATGGACTGATAAGACAAATTCCGTAAACATTTTCATGACTCACCTTGTTGGCAGTGCTTGTGGAGATGAACGATGAGCAGTCCTGGACTGATTTGGACTTGGAAATACTAATTTTAATGCTTTTTTATTATCTTTATCCATTTTTATAAAATTTGTTCTGAATTGTAAAAGAAAACTATTTGATAATTAATTTTTCATCTATTTTGTTATTGCTTGATGAACTTTTCTCCATCAATGGTGATGGTCTTAATTAAACTTGAAGATTATTACAATCCTGTGTTACGAATGTTAATTAAAGCTGTGTTTTAAATGTTTTATTTAATTAATTCAATTTTTTAACCAGGAGGGGAAAATCAACCTTCTTTAATTCTTTTAGGGAACGTAAACTTATTGTACAAACAACTTTGAATTATTTTTGACAGTTATTTTGTTTTGTTTCAGATAAATACTAGCGGTTCCAAACTATACCGGTTCTATTTTTACCACGTTTTTCTTATTTATAGCTTTTCTTATGTTGCTGAAGTAAATTTTGATTTAAATGTTTGCTGATGTTTATAAAATTGGTTTGTTTCCAAAATTATAACGACTTTTTTAAATTTAAAACGGTTTTTATTTGAAATTTCTGATTTCCGTGACAACAAATAAAATTCTCGAAATATTTAAATTTATTGTGAATTATGTCTGAAAAAGCATACAAATCATGTCTGTCGACTCGGTACGCATCACAAGAAATGCAGTATATCTTTTCACAACATTACAAGATCACATCATATAGAAAATTATGGATTTATTTAGCGAAAAGTCAAAAGGTAAGAAAAAGATCCAGTAATTAAATAATTTGCTAATGTTTCTCAAATCTAGGAACTTGGATCAAACATAACAGATAAGCAAATAGCTGAAATGGAGAAAAACGTCGATAAAATAGACTATGAAGACCTAAAAGTTGAAGAAAGCAAGACTAGACATGAAGTTTATGCCAATATCAATATTTTTGCCAAGTTATGTCCAGCATCCAAAGGAATCATCCATAGCGGTGCTACTTCTTGTTTTGTGACAGATAATACAGATTTAATTATCATAAAAGAGGGTCTTAATATTGTCTTGGCTCGACTTGTAGCTGTTATAAAGGAATTATCAGCATTTGCCTTAAATTATTGTAGCTTACCAACTTTAGGATTTACACATCTTCAACCAGCCCAATTGACAACAGTTGGTAAAAGAGCAACACTTTGGATCCATGACTTGATGATGGATGAGAGGAATTTAAGTACATGCCTTAAAAACTTGAAGTTTCGTGGCATTAAAGGAACAACTGGTACTCAAGCTAGCTTCCTTGATAAGTTTAATGGGGATCATGATAAAGTCAAGAAACTAGATAATTTGGTAACAATTATGGCTGGATTTACAGAAAGTTATTCAGTCACAGGTCAAACATATTCACGAAAAGTTGATCTTGACGTTATATCCGCATTATCATCACTTGGAGCATCAATTCATAAAATATGCACAGACTTAAGACTTCTAGCGTCTATGAAGGAAGTAGAAGAGCCTTTTGAACAGACACAAATTGGATCTTCAGCAATGCCATACAAAAGAAATCCAATGCGGTCTGAAAGATGCTGTAGTCTTTCTAGACACTTAATTACACTACATTCTAATGCTGCAAATACTTTTGCTAATCAATGGATGGAAAGGACACTCGATGACTCAGCAAATCGTAGAATTACAATATCCGAAAGTTTTCTCACAACTGATGCATGCTTATTGACCTTATTGAACATCTCGCAAGGCTTAATTGTCTATCCAAAAGTCATTGAATCACATATCGAACAAGAACTTCCATTTATGGCAACTGAAAATATTTTATCAGCTATGGAAATGGCAGGAATTGATAGACAAGAATGTCATGAAAAACTCAGAATTTTATCACATGAAGCATCAAATCAAGTTAAGCAGTACGGCAAGAAGAACGATTTAATTGAACGAATAAAACTTGATTCTTATTTCAAGCCGATTATTAATCAGTTACATCTACTTATGGATCCTAAATCGTTCACTGGCAGAGCTGCAAAGCAAGTTGTAGAATTTTATGATGAAGATATTAAGCCGCTGCTGAAAAGATATCATGAGCAATTGAAAAGAACCTCAGTTGCTGTAAATTTGTCAATTTGATTCTAAATGTTCATGCCTGCAATAAAATCACTTCTATGTCTGCATTGAAATTTTATTTTTTTATCATGCACGAAAATTTTTTTTATTAATTTTTATGCTTCCCTTTTTTGCATATAAAAGATATCAACATAAAACATATAATGGAAGACCTACATCATCGCTCATCATAGCATGGTAAATAATAAACGTCTAATAAAAGGAGACAGAGTGTAATATTTTTTAATAATTTAAATATAGTTTTTTTATGATGCTGGAGAGTGTAGCGCATTTACATTAAGTTTGATTTAGCATTATGAATGCTGTTTATTTGATTAAATCTGGGGTGATTGTGAAAACTTATGTTCATTTATAACAATGTTTTATAATTTGAATTTTAACGGTTTTTCAAAAATTCAAATTTTTAAGGTTCTCAAATTCAAATTTTTGGAAATAACTGTTAAAAAATAATAAAGTGAAACAAAGACAATCTGCAGTCATTAAGTTCCTTCACACATCACATCACTCAAAAACTCGTTCACTAAAATTGATATGTTGTGTTTGTGCCATGGATGCGACAAAATTTATTATGTTTTCATATTTGTATCTATCTGTATGCACTGTTGGCATGCATGAGCAGCCTATGAATTTATTATGAAAGTGAAAAACTTATCATTTTTCGGACGCTCATTTATAGCCACACTGAATATTATGATGATTCTTTTATTGCTCAATTAAGATATGCAGGTGAAAAATTATAATCAATTTGCATCTAAATGTTCACAAATTAGATCTTCATTGTGGCGTAGCTTTAAACACATGAACAAAAAATTAAAATCTACAGACTCCCGTAACAAATTAACGCTTCTGAAAAGGGACACACAAAAAAAGTTTTGTGTTGGTAACAGACATTCAAAAGGAGACTTTCCTTTAAGGCAAAACTGAACGAAGACGAAGAAGAAAAACCTCAAAAGTGAACCCTTTTTTAATAAAGCATGAAAAATTTATCTGATTGATAGTTTAGGAATTGAAAAGTGTCAAAGATGAAAAGATATTTGTTTCCTCAAAAATGTTCCTTTTTGTGTATATTTAATTAATATTTTTGTGACAAAATGAATTTAGTTCAATAACGGTTTTCAAAAATTTGAACTTCAATGAGCAAAATAATTCAAAACTTATAACGGTTTTCAAAAATTTCAATTAAGTGGAAAAATTTTAATAACACGTTTTTTAAACAAAATAATTTTCTAAAATACGCAATTCTATTGACAAATAAGCCTTTAATCAGGTAAGAAACCTGCTCATATTATTTCTAATACTCAAAACAATGCTTTAAAAACAAGAAGACATTCAAAAACCTTCGAATATTTACAATTTTACAATATTTCCCAAAAATTTCATAATTATAGCATTTCATCAACAAAAAATGGACAACAAGCAACATGAAGCGCTTAAGCGCAAAATTGATCAAGCAATGGAACAAACTAGACGTTCATTAGAAGCTGTTGATATACATCGTCGAAATTTGATTGATAATGAGCTAGCTTTACTATATTCTGCCATGGATCTTAAAAATCTAACTGATTCGCTTGTAAATGATCAGGAAGTACTATACAAGTGCTTATGTGATCTCAAAGCTATGAAAGACAAATCAGAAGCAACAGATGCACAAATAAAGATTGAAGAGGATTTGGAAGTAAGAGGAGCACAAATTATTGAAATGACTTCAAAGCAGGAAGATTTGGACGCAAAAGTGAAAAAATTAGCTGAGAGTTTCAAGACAATTCCTGAATTAAGAATTGCTTTGTCGCACATATTGAATAAGTTATTGGAATCTCGAAATGACTACAAAAAACAATTAACAAAAGCTGAAGAACGTATCAAACAATTACTTGCTGAAAATTCAGACCAAAAAGTACGCAAAAACAAGTCTAACGTTCAAAAAGTAGTACCAAAGCGTCAAATTGTCATTAAACCGTATAGCGTGGAATCAGCTATCGAAGATGGTGGACCTAGCGAGTCAAATGACAATTTTAGAGATCCTGACTATTTCCCACGATCATATGCTGCTCAGCAAGTAAAGAGGCTTAAAGTCACATGCGCATGTAAAACAAGCTGCTTAAAGAACCATTGTGTATGTAAAAAAGCTGGAAGTTACTGCATTAATTGCGACTGTACTAATTGTTTGAATATTGAGCCTACGGAAATATTAATTGCTGAAAAGAAGGAATTTAGTGTGGATTTGTAGGCTTTAAATCTTGCATTTCTTTCCTGTACGAATTAATGAAAAAATTGCGCATATTAATGACCCTATAAAATAAGTCTCTTGGCTTACGAAATTTATTTTTCAAACTGTTATAAACATAGAAATTGAATGTTTAATATAACTTTTAAAGGTACAAGAAATAAAGAAGATTAAAAACGATCGAAAAATGTTTGAAAAATAACGGTTTTTGAACTGGAAGTTCTTGACAAACTCAATAATCAATTAAATCCACAAACACCTACCTGATCCTCAATGTACCTGCAAAGTCATTTCTATGTTTGACCATTCGACTTGCTAATCTTAATTGCAGATTTAAATACATCCGCTTAGTCACAGAAAAGGCTTAAAAGGAGATTTTCTTCCTTAACTTTTTAAATCCATAAACAGGCACAAGATCAGGATTATGTTTGGCACTAGATCATCTTATCAGCATGCTTAAACCTCCCCTTTCATTACAATACTCGAGGATAATTGACATTATTTCCATCTCTTTAAGAATGTGATGAATTATTTAATAAACTAGTTCCGCTTGTGTTCATCATATCCATGCCGCAATTAAATGTGAGATTTTTACGGTTCCCTTAAAAATTTTATGGAAAATTTGATTCACTTTATTACTGACAGACATGTATGGAACTTCCAATATTGGTGAAAATAAGCATGCTAAATACCTTAGAAAATAAGGATTTCATGCTTCTTCATGGTGTTATAAAAAAAGAGTAAAGTCATTCTGAATTGACTGGATGGGTACGGATATAATCCAACCGTACTTTAATACTTTATTTTTTTTGGTGACTTTATCAATACAAATTATAATATTCATTGAAATGGTTTATATTGACTTGGCAGTTTCATCGGTAAGCAAGCCATCCACGATTTCAGAACGTAAACTGGATTTTTATATCCATTTCGTAAATATGAAATTTTCATCAAAGCCTTCATTTTTGAATCAAATTCTTCCCAGTCGTCATGTTGCTGCAATGTTTGATAGTTCCTGTAAAATAAAATAAAGTTAATAAAGACACAAGTTAAATTGGGTAATAAAGCTTACTTGTGGATGAAGAATATACATTTTTCCAGCAATTCATCTTCATCATATTCATCAGCCAACTCAAAATAGTCCAGGACATTGTCAATGGTTATATTCTTAATCATTAACTGTGCGACAAATGCCTTTAGTTTCTCTAGTTCATACTTATCAGCACATTTAATCAGCTTTAATTCCATGTTTAATATATTATCAAGTTTTCCAGTGTAAAGGAACCGAAGAACTTGCATTATTGTTTCTCCATCTTCATCAACTTTTTTGCGGTTTTGAGGATCGGATTTAGGAAGCATTTTGTACATAATAGGTGCATTAGCTAATAAAACAAAGCGATGTGCTGAAATTTCTACGTTATCAGAACAGACGAATTTAAAGTCGCTGAGCTTTTCTGAATCTAAGAACGAGCCGTAATTTTTTATCATGCAATTTGATCCACATTTTTCAGCACTTTCTGGTGTTTTTGGAGTTAATGTGATCTGTTTGAAGGAATTAAGGAAGTTGCAATCATGTCTAAAGTCTTAAAATTCATTAATATACCTTAATTTGCAGAGTGAATGTATCTTTAGGAAGATTAACTTTGTTATAAGCTTCAGTAATGGAGAGGTAACAATCTATAGTATGGATAAAGGACCAAGTCTCATAGAAATAATTAGCATCAAATCGCAAAATGACTGCTTTATCCTTTTGATTTGTCGAATTAATAGAGAGATCCACGACGAAGTCATTTGTTGTTGATTCGACCTTTTTGAGCAGTGCAAAGACTTTAAGAGCTTCACGGTATAAAATGACTTGCCTGTATGGATTTTTGAGCCTTGAGAATTTGTTATATAATTAAATGTTTACATTTTTACCATTTTGTTGAGTTGTTTTCCATGAAAATCTCAAAAACTTCTGATACAAGATAAAAGTTTATCCTTTCTACATTCCATTCAAACTCACGGGTTACAGTTAATTCATTCACGTCATTAACATCCATTGTTATCACTTTAAACTTAATTAAATTAAATAAATGTTGCTGACCGATTTTAAATGTGTTTTTGAGAACCTTACAAATGTTTTTAAATTTGTGTAATTCGTACGGTTTCGAATTCTCGACTTTTGTACGGTTTCAGATATTGTTTTCGTGAATAGCTCTTACAAAAACTTATTAATTATACATTTCCGACTCTATTAAACATTAAAATATAACTTACAAGCTCTTAATTTATATCTTTAAAGCTAAAATAGTTGAAGAACGATAAGAAAACATCAAAAAATGACTTCAAAACTCGGAAAAGGTATTTATAAAGGTTAAATTTTCACAATTACACTTTTTATTGATTAATTGCATTAACAGTATCCCCTATGAATCACTGCTTCCAATCACCAAGTATTATTAATATGTCTGATCAGTTTTTGAAGCCAGAAACAGGCAGGCGAAGTTTTTCACCTTTCGGTCTTCATCAGATTAAATCCCCAAATTTAAGTCCAATTAATAAGATTGCTTCACCTGCATCACCATTTTTGAAGAAGCGTGATCCGAAGTAAGTAAATTAATGAGATCCAGTTAAGAATTTATGAAAATATATTTTCGAGTTAAAAGATCCAGTAGTGGATGTTGAGACAAGACCTAAACAAATTATTATTCCTTGCAGAGAGCGAAAAGAAAGGCTTGAAAAATCAAATAATGAGCATGTATTGACTACAAAAAGAAGTCGTTTAATGGACAAGACACTTAATGTCAAGACTGTTTTGCAACACTTGGAATTATCAAAATACTTGGACATTTTCAACAAGGAGGAAGTAAGTAGTTGCTTAAATATTCTCATTTAAATGTCTATTTTACTGACATGTTCAATTTTAGATTAATTTGGATGCAATGTTCACCCTCTCTGATGATGATTTAAAGTCGATCAATATTAATGACATCCAGGATCGCAGGAAAATATTGGATTTCATAAATTGCTTCAAGACTCCCAAAAAGCCCACAAGACCTGCCTCAAACACATTACATCGCCTTTGAAAATGGAAAATTTATATCATATTGATTTTGTTTGTGTTAATTGTTCCTTTTTTTGGAAAATCTAGTGCTAGCCATTTTATAAAATACAGTATAGTTCTAAAATAATTTTTATGTCCACAATTGTGATAAATAAATGTTTATGTTGATTTTAAAAGAATTTTTGAATGGAAACACTTATTGCATACATTTTGCACGAACAATGCTTTTCTAGTCGATTTGAGATGATTTATTGAAAAATTAAAATATATCCGTTATTTTAAAATTTAAATAATTGTGCTCGAAAACCCTACAAATGTTTTATAAGAAAATTGAAGTGTTCTGAAATTCAAATTTTACAAAACCGTTATAAAGTTCAAATATTTAAAAGCCGTTAAATCACGAATACTATCAAATTGAAACTTCATTAATAATTCTCTTGCTGAATATCCTTAAAACAAACTTATCAATATCATAAAATACCATATTTATTCATCTCCTCAATTTCCATTGATTCAGTTTCTATTTCACATTAAATAATATTTTATTTAAAATATTCTCTCTCCATTTATAAAATGCATAAACTATCTCTATTGAATTAATCACATTCATAGGAGAAGAAGAATTAAAATCTCTGTGAATAAATGAGGCAGGGTGGTCTTCTCTCACTCACTCTCATACTCTATGTCCTATTCTATTTGATACTTTTATTCAAGGGGTAAGGATGAAAGACATAATAATAATAATAAAGAAGTGAGAAAGCATTTGTAGACACAAAGGGGAACTAAAATTCATAATGGAAGCGTGAAAAATGTATATTTTTAACAAAAATGTATTTTTGTCGTTTTTAAAGGAACCCGATCTGTACGAAGTGATTTGAAAGGAGGAAAGAGATGCACATTGAATAGCAATAGCTGTTGTGTATGTTTGTATTAATAAAACTTTTTATTTTTGAAAAAAGGGATGTTTTAATTTAATACTAATGCTGCTGCTGCTGCCATTGAATATCCTGAACCTATGCCAATAATAATAATGACTATGAAAATGTCGTGTGTGGCTTGCTTGCTTGCTCAATTCCGAAATGTGTGAAAATACAGGAAGAGATTTAAACATTCGGCAACTAATATATCTTCCTTCATTCCCTTGATTTATAAAAAAATACATAAAAGACGAGTAAATCATTCGGCAAACTATAAAAGAATTTAAATTTTTTCATGACAGCCGTGAAAACTTTCCAATAAACTCGCCGCAATTTTTTATTTCTTTTTTTTTTCATATTCTTCATCATTGTTTGATCATCTTCTTATCATGAAGATTTTTGTGGATGTCTCGTGTTTTTTTTTTGTGAAAAATTATTAAAAAATTGAGTAGTTTTGTGTCGCATGATTCTCGGTAATTTTTGAAAAATTTCGATTGTTGTTGATTTGTGTAAAATATGGCGGTGTGTTGATCATTTAAGCCTATGATAGTGAGTCATTGATAAAGCAATAAAGTGAATGAATCACTGGTGGAAAAAGTAATATTAAAATTTTAAAGGATTTGTTTTCATTAATTTGACTTTTTAAAAATCAATAAGAATTTGAATTTTTTGAAAACCGATAAGAATTTGAATTTTTGAAAGACGTTAAGATTTGAAATTCTTGAAAACCGATAAGAATTTGAATTTTTGAATTCCGTTAAGATTTGAATTTTTGAAAACCGATAAGAATTTGAATTTTTGAACGCTGTTAAAATTTTAAATTTTGAAAGACGTTAAAATTTAAATTTTTGAAAACCGATAAGAATTTGAATTTTTGAAAGACGTTAAAATTTGAATTTTTGAAAACCGATAAGAATTTGAATTTTTGAATTCCGTTAAAATTTGAATTTTTGAAAACCGATAAGAATTTGAATTTTTGAAAGACGTTAAAATTTGAATTTTTGAAAACCGATAAGAATTTGAATTTTTGAATTCCGTTAAGATTTGAATTTTTGAAAACCGATAAGAATTTGAATTTTTGAACGCTGTTAAAATTTTAAATTTTGAAAGACGTTAAAATTTAAATTTTTGAAAACCGATAAGAATTTGAATTTTTGAAAGACGTTAAAATTTGAATTTTTGAAAACCGATAAGAATTTGAATTTTTGAATTCCGTTAAAATTTGAATTTTTGAAAACCGATTAGAATTTGAATTTTTGAAAGACGTTAAAATTTGAATTTTTGAAAACCGATAAGAATTTGAATTTTTGAATTCCGTTCAGATTTGAATTTTTGAAAACCGATAAGAATTTGAATTTTTGAACGCTGTTAAAATTTTAAATTTTGAAAGACGTTAAAATTTAAATTTTTGAAAACCGATAAGTTTGAATTTTTGAATTCCGTTAAGATTTGAATTTTTTGAAAACCGATAAGAATTTGAATTTTAGAAAGACGTTAAAATTTGAATTTTTCGAAAACCGATAAGAATTTGAATTTTTGAAAGACGATAAAATTTGAATTTTTGAAAACCGATAAGAATTTGCGGCCTGTTTCACTAAAGTGGATTATCCTCGATTTCGGATTATCCACTTCAATTTTTTGTAAATATCTTAAACTTAATAGGAGGTGTGGTACTTCTTATATTGGATTATAATAGAGTGAACTATGCCTGAAATTTCTGTATACTTTAAACTTTTACTTTTTGTTAAGAAGTATTAATTATTCAATTTTCTAGCCAAATCTAGTAGATTAACTTCGATTTTTGCTTTAATTCTCAAACTAATGAAGATATAAAAATTCTAAGTATATGTTAATTTAAGTAGCAAACTACTCTTACTAGATCACACATTAGATCTCTTAAAAACCTTTAGCGTCTTGAGATATTTCCAAAAAACTGAAGTAGATATTCCGAAATCGAGGATAATCCACTTTAGTGAAACAGGTCGTTGAATTTTTGGAAGACGTTAAAATTTGAATTTTTAAAAACCGATAAGAATTTGAATTTTTGAATTCCGTTAAAATTTGAATTTTTGAAAACCGATAAGAATTTGAATTTTTGAATTCCGTTAAGATTTGAATTTTTGAAAACCGATAAGAATTTGAATTTTTGAACGCTGTTAAAATTTTAAATTTTAAAAGACGTTAAAATTTAAATTTTTGAAAACCGATAAGTTTGAATTTTTGAATTCCGTTAAGATTTGAATTTTTTGAAAACCGATAAGAATTTGAATTTTAGAAAGACGTTAAAATTTGAATTTTTTGAAAACCGATAAGAATTTGAATTTTTGAAAGACGTTAAAATTTGAATTTTTGAAAACCGATAAGAATTTGAATTTTTGAATTCCGTTAAAATTTGAATTTTTGAAAACCGATTAGAATTTGAATTTTTGAAAGACGTTAAAATTTGAATTTTTGAAAACCGATAAGAATTTGAATTTTTGAATTCCGTTCAGATTTGAATTTTTGAAAACCGATAAGAATTTGAATTTTTGAAAGACGTTAAAATTTGAATTTTTGAAAACCGATAAGAATTTGAATTTTTGAAAGACGTTAAGATTTGAATTTTTTGAAACCCGATAAGAATTTGAATTTTTGAAAGACGTTAAAATTTGAATTTTTGAAAACCGATAAGAATTTGAATTTTTGAAAGACGTTAAAATTTGAATTTTTTGAAAACCGATAAGAATTTGAATTTTTGAAAGACGTTAAAATTTGAATTTTTGAAAACCGATAAGAATTTGAATTTTTGAATTCCGTTAAGATTTGAATTTTTTGAAAACCGATTAGAATTTGAATTTTTGAAAGACGTTAAAATTTGAATTTTTGAAAACCGATAAGAATTTGAATTTTTGAATTCCGTTCAGATTTGAATTTTTGAAAACCGATAAGAATTTGAATTTTTGAAAGACGTTAAAATTTGAATTTTTGAAAACCGATAAGAATTTGAATTTTTGAAAGACGTTAAGATTTGAATTTTTTGAAACCCGATAAGAATTTGAATTTTTGAAAGACGTTAAAATTTGAATTTTTGAAAACCGATAAGAATTTGAATTTTTGAAAGACGTTAAAATTTGAATTTTTTGAAAACCGATAAGAATTTGAATTTTTGAACGCTGTTAAAATTTTAAATTTTGAAAGACGTTAAAATTTAAATTTTTGAAAACCGATAAGAATTTGAATTTTTGAAAGACGTTAAAATTTGAATTTTTGAAAACCGATAAGAATTTGAATTTTTGAATTCCGTTAAAATTTGAATTTTTGAAAACCGATAAGAATTTGAATTTTTGAAAGACGTTAAAATTTGAATTTTTGAAAACCGATAAGAATTTGAATTTTTGAATTCCGTTAAGATTTGAATTTTTGAAAACCGATAAGAATTTGAATTTTTGAACGCTGTTAAAATTTTAAATTTTGAAAGACGTCAAAATTTAAATTTTTGAAAACCGATAAGAATTTGAATTTTTGAAAGACGTTAAAATTTGAATTTTTGAAAACCGATAAGAATTTGAATTTTTGAATTCCGTTAAAATTTGAATTTTTGAAAACCGATTAGAATTTGAATTTTTGAAAGACGTTAAAATTTGAATTTTTGAAAACCGATAAGAATTTGAATTTTTGAATTCCGTTCAGATTTGAATTTTTGAAAACCGATAAGAATTTGAATTTTTGAACGCTGTTAAAATTTTAAATTTTGAAAGACGTTAAAATTTAAATTTTTGAAAACCGATAAGTTTGAATTTTTGAATTCCGTTAAGATTTGAATTTTTTGAAAACCGATAAGAATTTGAATTTTAGAAAGACGTTAAAATTTGAATTTTTCGAAAACCGATAAGAATTTGAATTTTTGAAAGACGATAAAATTTGAATTTTTGAAAACCGATAAGAATTTGCGGCCTGTTTCACTAAAGTGGATTATCCTCGATTTCGGATTATCCACTTCAATTTTTTGTAAATATCTTAAACTTAATAGGAGGTGTGGTACTTCTTATATTGGATTATAATAGAGTGAACTATGCCTGAAATTTCTGTATACTTTAAACTTTTACTTTTTGTTAAGAAGTATTAATTATTCAATTTTCTAGCCAAATCTAGTAGATTAACTTCGATTTTTGCTTTAATTCTCAAACTAATGAAGATATAAAAATTCTAAGTATATGTTAATTTAAGTAGCAAACTACTCTTACTAGATCACACATTAGATCTCTTAAAAACCTTTAG